ACGCACCGTACGCACAGACACCAACACACCAACTGCACGCACCGCACCCACTGGTAGCCACGCACATATCGCACCCTCCTCACCCTCCGCACCCGCCGCACGCACCGCTCTCACCGCACTCACTTCTCTCACCGCACACATAATATGAACCGCACCCTCCGCACGCACCGAACGCACCGCACATTCCGCACGCTCCGCACGTACAGCACGCACGCGAATTCGGTACGCGCAGTACCGAACGCAGCGTACGCAACGCACGCCCATTCCCACCGCACCCACCGCACCCTCCGCACCAGCCGCATCCACCGCAAACATCGCACGAACCGCACGCACCATACGCACCGCACACACTGCACCCACCGCACGCTCCGCACCCACCGCACACACAGAACGCACCGCAGGTACCGAACGCAACGCACCCACCGCACGCACTGCACCTACCGCACGCAACACACGCCCCGCACCCACCGAACGCACCGCACCCACCGCACCGACCGCACGCAACGCACCCGCCGCACACACCGTACCCACCACACCCAACGCACCCACCGCACGCACCGCATCCACCCAACGCATTGCACCCACCTCACCCGCTGCACCCACCATACGCATCGCACGCACAGCAACCACCGCACGCACTGCACATACCGCACGCTCCGCACGTACCGCACGCACCGCACTCATCGCACGCACGGCACGCACCGCACACAACGCACGCTCCGCACCCACGCAACCACCGTGCTCACTGCACCCAACGCACCCACCGCACCCACCGCACGTACCGAACCCACCGCACTCATCGCACGCACTGCACATACCGCACGCACCACACGTACCGCACGCACCGCACGCTTCGCATGCACCGCACGCACCTCACGTATCGCACGAACCGCAAGCACCAAATGCACCGCACATACCAAACGCACGGCACACACTGCACGAAACGCACACTCCGCACCTACCGTAACTACCGTACCCACTGCACCCACCGCAACCACCGCACGCATCGCACGCACCTCAACCAACGCATCAACCGCAACCTCCGCACCCACCGCACCCACCGCACCCATCACACGCACTACAGATACCGCACGCACCGCTAGTACCGCACGCACCGCCCGCATCGTACGCTCCGCACGCACCTCACGTACCATGAAAGAAGGAGGGCGTACTAGGTGGCGACGGGACGCCGTGCGTTCGGGACCTGTATCTCATTTTTCGTTCCGAGGAGAGAAAAACATCGAGAGCGCGGTAGTCGACCGGGAATCGAACCCGGGTCTTTCGCTTGCCGGGCGACTGCTCTAGACCACTGAGTTATCTGACGCTCCGCGCTCACGTACCGCACGAACTGCAAGCTCCAACTGCACAGCACGTACCACACGCACCACACGCACCGCACGCAACGCACGGGGGGCATCATCCCCTTGAAAGGGGTGCAGCAGGCTGAGGGAGTGACGGTGATGTTGGTCGCACCATCCTCCGTAGTTCCTCCTCCTCGGAGAAGTCGGCGTCCACCTTCCTGATCCTACTCCTCCCCGCTCTCCACAGGCGGTGGCGTTCCCTACGTCTCCGTATTCTTCCCCGCCCTACAGCCTCTCTGCGGATCTCCTCCCCGGCCTCCTTCTGCGAGAGGACCGCCTCGCAGGACCACCGCACTCATCGCACCAATCGCACCCACGGCACACACCGCACGCACTGAAGCCACCACACGCACCGCACGCAACGCACGCAACACACGGGGGCATCACCTCCTTGAAAGGGGAGCAGCAGGCTGAGGGAGTGACGGTGATGTTGGTCGCACCATCCTCCGCAGTTCCTCCTCCTCGGACAAGCCGGCGTCCCCCTTCCTGGTCGTACTCCTGCCCGCTCTCCACAGGCGGTGGCGCTCCCTCCGCCGCCCTATTCTTCCCCGCCCTACTGCATCTCTGCGGATCTCCTCCACAGACTCCTTCTGCGAGAGGACCGCCTCGCAGAAGGACCACAGCACTCACCGCACCATTCGCAACCACCGCACACACCGCACGCACTGCACGCACCGCACGCAACGCACGGGGGGCATCGCCTCCTTGAAAGGGGAGCAGCAGGCTGAGGGAGTGACGAAGATGTTGGTCGCACCATCCTCCGTAGTTCCTCCTCCTCGGAGAAGTCGGCGTACACCTTCCAGATCCTACTCCTCCCCGCTCCCCACAGGCGGTGTCGTTCCCTCCGCCACCGTATTCTTCCCCGCCCTACTGTCTCTCTGCGGATCTCCTCCGTGGCCTCCTCCTGCGAGAGGACCGCCTTGCAGAAGGCCCACCGCACCTACCGCACCATTCGCAGCCACCGCACACACCGCACGCACTGCACCCACCGCACGCACTGCACCCACCGCACGCACCGCACGCATCGCACGCAACGCACGGGGGGCATCGCCAACTTGAAAGAGGAGCAGCAGGCTGAGGGAGTGATGATGATGTTGGTCGCACCATCCTCCGTAGTTCCTCCTCCTCGGAGAAGCCGGCGTCCCCCTTCCTGATCCTACTCCTCCCCGCTCCCCACAGGAGGTGGCGTTCCCTCCGCCTCTGTATTCTTCCCCGCCCTACTGCCTCTTTGCGGATCACTTCCGCGGCCTCCTTCTGCGAGAGCACCACCTCGCAGAAGGACCACCGCACTCACCGCACCTATCGCACCCACCGCACACACCGCACGCACTTCACCCATCGCACGCGCCACACGCAGCGCACGCAACGCACGGGGGGCATTAACCCCTTGAAAGGGGAGCAGCAGGCTGAGAGAGTGACGTTGATGTTGGTCGCACCATTCTCCGTAGTTCCCCCTCCTCGGAGAAGTCGGCGTCCCCCTTCCAGGTCCTACTCCTTCCCGCTCCCCACAGGCGGTGGCGTTCCCTCCGCCTTGTACTCTTCCCCGCCCTACTACCTCTCTGCGGATCTCCTCCGCGGCTTCCTTCTGCGAGAGGACCGCCTCGCAAAAGGACCACCGCACTCCCCGCACCATTCGCATCCACCGCACACACCGCACGCACTGCACCCACCGCACGCACCGCACGCAACGCACGGGGGGCATCACCCCCTTGGAAGGGGAGCAGCAGGCTGAGGTAGTGACGGTGATGTTGGTCGCACCATCCTCCGTAGTTCCTCCTCCTCGGAGAAGTCGGCGTCCCCCTTCCTGATCTTACTCCTCCCCGCCCTCCATAGGTGGTGGCGTTCCCTCCGCCTCCTTACTCTTCCCCGCCCTACTGCCTCTCTGCGGATCTCCTCCGCGGCCTCCTTCTGCCAGAGGACCTCCTCGCAGAAGGACCACCGCACTCTCCGCACCATTCGCACCCACCGCACACACCGCACGCACCGCACGCACCGCACGCAACGCACGGGGGGCATCACCCCCTTGAAAGGGGTGCAGCAGGCTGAGGGAGTGACGGTGATGTTGGTCGCACCATCCTCCGTAGTTCCCCCTCCTCTGAGAATTCGGCGTCCCCCTTCCTGATCCTACTCCTCCCCGCTCTCCACAGGCGGTGGCGTTCCATCCGCCTCCGTATTCTTCCCCGCCCTACTGCCTCTCTGCGGATCTCCTCCGCGGCCACCTTCTGCGAGAGGCCCGCCTCGCAGAAGGACCGCCGCACTCACCGCACCAATCGCACCCACCGCACACACCACACGCACTGCACCCACCGCACGCACCGCACGCACGGCACGCAACGCACGGGGGGCATCACCCCCTTGAAAGGGGAACAGCAGGCTGAGGGAGTGACGGTGATGTTGGTCGCACCATCCTCCGTAGTTCCCCCTCCTCGGAGAAGTCGGCGTCCCCCTTCCTGATCCTACTCCTCACCGCTCTCCACAGGCGGTGGCGTTCCCTCCGCCTCAGTATTCTTCCCCGCCCTACTGCCTCTCTGCGGATCTCCTCCGCGGCCTCTTTCTGCGAGAGGACCGCCTCGCAGGGCAACCGCACTCACCGCAGAAATCGCACCCACCGCACACACCGCACGCACTGCGTCCACCGCACGCACCGCACGCAACGCACGGCGGCATCACCCCCTTGAAAGGGGAGCAGCAGGCTGAGGGAGTGACGGTGATGTTGGTCGCACCATCCTCTGTAGTTCCTAATCCTCGGAGAAGTCAGCGTCGCCCTTCCTGATTCTATTCCTCCCCGCTCTCCATAGGCATTGGCGTTCCCTCCGCCTCAGTATTCTTCCCCGCCCTACTGCCTCTCTGCGGATCTCCTCGGCGGCCTCCTTCTGCGAGAGGACCGCTTCGCAGAAGTAGCACCGCACTCACCGCACCATTCGCACCCACCGCACACACCGCACACACCGCAGGCACCTCTCGCACCGTACCCACCGCACTCACCGCACCCGCCGCACCCACTGCACGTACCGCACCCACCGCATCCACCGCACCCACCGGTCCCACCGTACCCACCGCACGCATCGCACCAACCGCACCCACCGCACGCACCGCACGCACCGCACACACCGCACCCACCGCACCTACCGCAACCATCGCACCTACCGCATCAACGGCACTCACAGCACGAACCGCACCCACCGTACCCACCTCACCCACCGCAAGCATCGCACCCACCGCACGCACCGCACGCACCGCAGCCACCGCACGCCCCGCATGCTCCGCATGAACCGCACGCACCGAACGCACCGCACGCACCGCACGCACTGCATGCTTCACACGCAACGCACGCACCGCACGCAACATACCCTCGGCACACACCGCACCCAACGCGCCCACCGCACCTACCGCACACACCGCACGCACCATACTCACCGCACCCACCACACCCACCGCACGCACCACACATACCGCACGTACCGCACGCAGCGCACCCACCGCACGCACCGCACCCACCACACCCACCGAACCCACCGAACCCACCGCACCCTCCGCACCCACCGCACGCACCGCATGTACCACACACATCGCTCCCACCGCACCCACCGCACCCTTCGCCACCACCCAAACAAGAAACGAGCAAGAATTCTTTTCTCATAAACATTATTCTGCTCAACAAACACAATCATATTCATTTCGTTATATTCATTGTATATTTTTACAATGATGTAGATGCAGATGCCAGATATCATGCGTCATACAACAATCACTCAGAAACACATATGCATATACTCTTCACACATTTTCAAAGTAACGTGTCAGTCAAATGGTTTGATTCGACTCTTCAGTCAAGTTTTTATACTTCATTGCCTTAAATGAAGCATGGCTCCACACTCGTTTCAGCAGATCACAGGGACTAGCGACTAGTGTCCTCCTCAACATCGGACAGAGATTCGCCGCAGTGGCCCAGCGCAAGTGGCTCCCGACCCCATTTCCTCTACCAGCATCCTCTTCGTCATAGATTTACAATACTTGAAAAAGGAGGAACAACCGTATTAAGTTAACGATAACAATATCAGTGATAATATTAAATTGTGTAAAATTATTTTTAGATCTGTCAATAAATTAGATTGTAACTTACTATATAACAAATAACCAAGATATTCGATGTAACATCCAGACAGTACAACTACATGAAAAGATGTCTTAGAAGCATCTGAAAGACGTTTAAAACATATAGCATATATGTCAAATGTTTCTAGGTCGACTTTTAAATATAAATTTATACCGTCTGAGATAATCGTCAAATATCTATCATACGGTATAATGCATATTTGAGCAATTTTTCGACGAACGCCCAATTGGCTTGCGTCCAGTTATCAGAGCCGGACTCATGTCTGGCGAGAATTTAGTCTGAGGTCGAGGCGACAGGTTCCTAAGGTGTCGCGAGCTTTCCGTTAGCGTCCATGGATTTCATCTTGTATTTCCACTGCGTCTGGCCCCTCCGACTGCTGCGGAATGGAAATACGATCGACCATTAGTCCTCCATTATTAAAACTGATTATTAGATAATTCGCGATATATACAGTGTGCGTTCAGAGATCTCGGAGGAATGAAAGAAGGTAGATCAAGTTCGTGATTAACAAGTAAAAATATTTTCTTCCGTGTGAAAACGTAATCGACTCGCAGATTTTCGCTCCGAGACCTATAGTTTCACTTTTACCGTTATTGAAAGATATCTTTTACCAGAGAATACTACGTAGGAAGCACAAAATAAAGAAGCAGAGATTAATAAATTTGAGAAAACGTGAGATTAGTTTATGGAGATTGTAAGAGATTGTAATTTCGCGAGAATTATTGTGACGCACCTCTGAGCGGGTTCTTTATTCAACACGACGCTATCCAGCAGAGAAAAGCTCCGAAAATATGCCGCTCGATGTGGGAAAATTTCCGTGGGCGGATTCGTCTCGAAGTCCACGTTCGTTAACCTTTGCTCCAGTACTTGTTGCGTATCCGCCATGCTCGTGGAAGGCTCGTACCTCATCGATCGTATGATGCTCCACCTGATTTTCTTCCTGGAAGTCACGGGAAAGAATGCCGATTAAACCCGAGTTAAAAATACTCATCGTCGTATACCGAGTATAAAAATAATCGAATATAAAAATTAATCGAAGTTTACTTTATAAGAGAAATCCTTTGGACGAAGACCTTTATGTTGAAATCGAGCTCGCTCCACGTCGACATCACTTTACTGTCGACGAGAGAGGCGAACATCTGCGTCTTGAGGAATCTCGAGTAGATGAACAGTAAATGCTGCGTAGATTGGTAGGATAAAAACGTAGTCTTGTCGAAAACGTATCCTGTCCATCCTATCTCTGTTATTGATCCACTCATGCTTATCTTCCAATGCTAAAGAAGCCGTATATTTAACATTAAGTTTAGGTGTATATTAAATATCAAACACATACAAATTACTTAAATACGAATAATTTCCATCCTATTATGATAAAATAAATTTATAATCTTTTTATAATTCTTTTCTTGCTTTTTACAAAATATAAATCTATAACCAACATCCCCAAAGTCTTTTCAATGCAACACACGTACCTGACTTGGCTGTATGACGAAGTGCTCGTAATTAGAAAACATTTGTACAAAACGGTTCAGAAATCATTTTCCTGATAGCGTTATTGAAGACGAGAGTCTCTTAGTAGTCTTCCTGCGGTGTGAGCATCTTGTTGTTTGTAGTATCCTCCACGGAATTAATAACATCTACGTTTACTGCAATTGAAATGTCCGGACAGAGTTATAATCCGATTATCTAAGCCACTCGATGGTGAAGATTATGTTACCTGATCTTTTAACAATGTCCACTATCCTTTGCAAGTTGTCCGACTATGGGTATGGCTCCGTTCGGTCCCAATCTAGTACATCATGCAGAGAATATTCTCTGCGAAGAAGGTAAAAACCGGAACCAGGAAGCGTCAAGCTACTAGTCATGATTTCGCCGTCGTAATAATTTAAGACCATGTTATCAGTCCTACAAAACGTTCTTCGCGTTTAGAAACCGAATAACCAACATTTTACTCAGCGAGGAAGGTAAGGTTAAAAAATTACTTACTTTCCCGAATGTGGTACTTTTTACTTGTTTAGAAGCACCCTAATCTCAGTGATAAACTGCACTTTGTGAGGAGACACAGGTAACTGTTCCGGGAATTGGCTACTTTGCTTATCTATATATACATAACAGAGGTTCGCCTGCAACCAAAGATGATAAAATGTCACTCGAGAGCGATTTCTACAGTTTGCTTTCACGAACAAACAGATTAACCATCACTTAGCACAAGAAATGCTGAAACCGAATAGTGGTAGTTGGAAAATGAAATTAGCTGATACGGAATCAGTTGCAACAAAAGTCAACAAGAAATAGCAGTCGACCTGGACGTTAATTTCGGATGCTCCATTATTTCAGATAATATCCGAGTGTCGGACAATACCTGCGAGACTGGCCACTAGATATTTGGGTATAGAAAGCACTCGGTTCAAATTTAGCGATATGCTCGAAGCGAATTCGATCGTCTGTCGAAGCGTTGTTAAAACTTGTTAAAGCACTTATGGTTTAATGGCGGTTAACACCGAACATCGAACGAAGAACTTCAAGGATTTAACGGCAGCGGCACATTATACAGTAAATTGTACACGTAGGATTCCAGACTACAGGCTATAGGGCTGGGTCCCGGCCAGCCCAGCCCTATAGCCCGTCTAGGAACGCACCTGAAAATTTTATTGATCGATACCCCCACCACTCTATGGAACTACATGCTCCAGGCGCCATTTAAAAATCCCATATTTTTCAGACGCCATTTAAATATTCCACGCACGACGCCATTGAAACATCAGCGTTAAAACCTTCCATTTAAAATTGGCATTTAAAGATCGCATTTGAAGATTAATTGTTATTTTTACACGCAAGCGAGCTATAGAATGACTTTGGCAGGGTATTGAGAAACCGCCAATTCGACGAGCGGAGAAAAAGAGATCTCGCGATGTGCACACGATGTTGGTTTAGGACAACGGAAGCGATCGGAGCCGCGTAGAATTCGCCGCGACAACCTTTCTCTCTCTTGATCTTACCTGTAGAGATTATTGAGGAACGTCTTGGCCGCGTGGAGGTAGGGTTGCTGGCACAGTAAAGATATCGATTTGGTCACTAGCAACTTGTCTTTGGTAGAGTCGTAATACGCTAACGCGGCACCCGGCGAATGGGCCGACAGCTTGAAGTGCCGCGACAATGATCTCGCGTTGTATCCGTTCTGGCCCTTCCTCGCACTGAAAAGTCGGACCTTGTAGTCGATCGTGTGTCATGCGCGAAGATATCGATTAATTGAGACAAATGTGGCATTCCGAGCGCTAAGGAGATGAGCTCCGGCTGTTCATTGTACTAGGGCAGTCTAAAAAATTCTCGGCGTGACACATAGATGGCATTAGAAACTGTCAAACTATAATTGTGTTGGAAAGTGGCATCCCTGATATAAACCCATGTAAAATTTTATTTCGATCTGTCAAGTCATTCGAGTAGTAGCACCAGTTTAATATATACGTGTCATTGTCTTTTTTAAAATGGAAAAAATTGAATATCGTGCAGTGATTAAATTCTTTGTTTTGGATGGTTTAACACCAACAGAAATTCATCCGAAATTGTTAAAAATATATAAGAATGCATCATCTTCTCTTTTCACTGAAAAAATGGGCTGCTCTTTTTAAATCTGCTCATACAAGCCTTGAAGATGATCCACGCGAAGATTGTCCAAGAACTGCTACAACACCACAAAACATTCAACAAGTCCATGATATGGTGTTAGATGATCGGCGAGTGAAAATGCGTGAAATAGCTGAGGCCATAGGCATCTCAAAAGAACGAATTTAAATATTTTGCATGAATATTTTGCATGAAGAATTATATATGAAAAAGCTTTGTGCAAGATAAGTACCGCATTTGCTGTGCAATAAACATTAAGCAAAATAAAACTTTTTGTTCCATTAACACTGAGGTCAATTATTTCATCAACAAGGTGTGATAAGATTTTATTTCCAAATTTTTTATGATCTTGGTAATTATGTAATTGTAAAAGTAGAATATTATCTAAAGTACTAGAATATTGAGGAGGTAAACCTAATAGACTTAAATAAATTGCACCTAACTTATGAATCGATTTGTATGATCCTAGCGGATTATTAATTTCAAAATCATCGAAAAATAAGGCTATTGGTAAAACGATTTCATTTTCTTTTGACGGTATGGAATTCCACATTTGACCATAGTATACCGAAGTTAGCAATGTAGTAGTATTTTTACTATCGTTCATGTACTTTACAATACTATTTAAAATGTTAGGAAGTTCTAAAAACTTTTTCAAAACCACTTTTATAGGGACCAAAGCAATTTTTTTATGATGCATAACTAATTGTTTCTTTAATTTCTTTCGTTTTGGAGCTAAAAAAAATTAATTATTATTGCTAATGGTTTAATAAAATAGTTTTTATCGACTAAATATTTTAATGTGGGACGTTCGCTGTTAAATTTTTTAAAGCTGTTTTTGATAATCAAACAAATATCGTCGTTATTGATATATCTTTTTTCTAACATTTTAAAACTCTCAGATAAATAGGTATAAAAAACATTAATAATTATATGCGTTTTTCCTATTTAAATTTGCAAACACATATAGTATAATCTTGTGATTAAAGATAAAGTTTGGTTAAATATTTTACAACTAAAAGTTTCAAGAAGAGAAAAATTCTCTTTCTTATATGATGCAGAATCTTCACTAGTATCACAGTCATCAAAGCGTGTTCGCGACGAGAAGAGGCGAACGAACGCCGGGAGCCGCTTCGAACGAAGCGCGGGAGTGGACGGTAGAGCGGGCGAAAGCGACAAAACGTTGAGCAATGTTCAATAAAGTCCACACCAAATCTAAACTTTATTCTGCACTAAAAATATGATGCGCGTCGATTTGCGTCATCTCTTTGCGAGAACGAATATCTGGTAGTGATCCGCATGGAAAACTGCGCGGTTGATTGACCGAGGAAGAGGGAGAGGGGGAGGGTAGGGAGGGGATAGGGAGGGTAGGTGAGGGGAGGGGGAGGAGGGGGAGGGAGCGAGAGAGAGAGGGGGGAGAGGGATGGAGAGGGAGGAGAGAGAGGGGGGAGGGAGAGAGAGAGAGTGAGAGAGAGAGAGAGAGAGAGAGAGAGAGAGAGAGAGAGAGAGAGAGAGAGAGAGAGTGAGAGAGAGTGAGAGAGAGTGAGAGAGAGAGAGTGAGAGAGAGAGAGTGAGAGAGAGAGAGTGAGAGAGTGAGAGAGAGAGGAGAGGATGAGAGAGAGAGAGAGAGAGAGTGAGAGAGAGAGAGTGAGAGAGAGAGTGAGAGAGTGAGAGAGAGAGTGAGAGGATGAGAGAGAGAGAGAGAGAGGAGAGAGAGAGAGAGAGAGAGAGAGAGAGAGAGAGAGAGAGAGAGAGAGAGAGAGAGAGAGAGAGAGAGAGAGAGAGAGAGAGAGAGAGGAGAGAGAGAGAGAGAGAGAGAGAGAGAGGAGAGAGAGAGAGAGGAGAGAGAGTGAGAGAGAGTGAGAGAGAGAGAGTGAGAGAGAGAGTGAGAGAGAGAGAGTGAGAGAGAGAGTGAGAGAGAGAGAGAGAGAGAGAGAGAGAGAGAGAAGAGAGAGAGAGAGAGAGAGAGAGAGAGAGAGAGAGAGAGAGAGTGAGAGAGTGAGAGAGAGAGAGAGAGAGAGAGAGTGAGAGAGTGAGAGAGAGAGAGTGAGAGAGAGAGTGAGAGAGAGAGTGAGAGAGAGTGAGAGAGAGAGAGAGAGAGAGAGAGAGAGAGAGAGAGAGAGAGAGAGAGAGAGAGAGAGAGAGAGAGAGAGAGAGAGAGAGAGAGAGAGAGAGAGAGAGAGAGAGAGAGTGAGAGAATGAGAGAGTGAGAGAGAGGGAGGGAGAGAGAGAGGGAGGGAGACAAAAAGTTGGTACGGAGCCAAAGCCTCGACTGTCTCACTCATGTCAGGCCGAATAGTTGACGAGCGACAGTTCGATAACATGGCTTGCTGGCGATTCCGCTGCGAGATAGTAGCTCGCAGCATGGATTGCAAAAAGAAGCTGTTGTTCGCAGAAGATCAAAGCCCGCACTAGATTCTATCGCCTCTTTTGTAACGAGTACGTCGAGTACGCATCTCCGACAGCGCTTAAGGCGGGTTGTTCCAACTCCTTGGTAAGTTAACTGACAATTAAAATCATATGTCTATCTTCGTTTAAATTGAAGGAGAAGCAAAGATGAAGATAAAGATAAAGATATGATTTAACTATCGGTTAACTTACCAAGAAGTTAGAACAATCGGCTCTTAAACCTGCCGGGGACGCACGTCGATTTCGGGACTCATCGGTAACGACCGCGGTAGATTGCTTGAAAGGACGACGACGCTTCCTACGAAGCATTGTTAGATGGGTAGCGCCATGAAAATCCTAATATCTGCGGTAAGGGTATCGGGTGTACATATCGTTGTACGAAGCGGCTTGTTCGCTATTTTTGCAGGTGTCTCACTGCAATGCACGCCGCTGGATCGGGCATACAAGAGCAAAGTGCTGGGACATTATCCAGATTCGGTGTCATGGAATCCCTTCGACGAGCACGCCGTCTGCATGATACGTATCTATTCGTGACGGCTAATCGCTCAGATGGGATGCGCTCCGAAAGTCATTAAAAAAAAAGTAACAACCTTTATGTCCGCGACCGTACAACCTTATTTAAAAAGAGCAGTACATTTTTTCACAGTGGAAAGTGAAGGTGATGCATCCTTATACGCTTTTAACAATTTCGGATGAATTGCAGTTGGTGTTAAACCATCCAAAACAAAGAACTTAATCACTACACGATATTCAATTTTTCCATTTTAAAGAAGACAATGACACGTTAATATTAAACTGGTGCTACTACTCGAATGACTTGATAGATCGAAATAAAATTTTACATGGGTTTATATCTGGGATACCACTTTCCAATACAAATATAGTTTGACAGTTTCTAATGCCATCTATGTGTCAGGCCGAGAACCTTCCAGACTGCGCTCGTACAATGAACAGCCGGCACACCCCCTTGACGCTCGTAGCGCCCCATTTGTCACAATTAATCAATATCCTCGCGCATGACACACGCTCGACTACAAGGTCCGACATTTCAGCGCGAGGAAGGACCAGGACGGACACAACGCGAGATCATTGCTGCGGCACTTCAGCTGTCGGTCCATTCGCCGGGTGCAGCGTTAGCGTATTACGACTCTACCAAAGACAAGTTGCTACTGACCAAATCGATATTTTTACTGTGCCAGCAACCCTAACTCCACGCGGCCAAGACGTTCCTTAATAATCTCTACAGGTAAGATCAAGAGAGAGAAGGTTTGTCGCGGCGAATTTTAGACAGCACCGATCGCTTTCGTTGTCCTAAACCAACATCGTGTGCACATCGCGAGATCTCTTTTTCACCGCTCGTCGAATTGGCGGTTTCTCAATACCCTGCCAAAGACGAGTCATTCCATAGCTCGCTTGCGTGTAAAAATAACAATTAATCTTCAAATGCGATCTTTAAATGCCAATTTTAAATGGAAGGTTTTAACGCTGATGTTTCAATGGCGTCGTGCGTGGAGTATTTAAATGGCGTCTGAAAAATATGGGATTCTTAAATGGCGCCTGGAGCATATAGTTCCATAGAGTGGTGGGGATATCGATCAATAAAATTTTCAGCTGCGTTCTTAGACAGGCCGGGACGCATCCCGGCCAGCCCAGCCCTATAGCCGGGACGCATCTCCGCAGGCGCGGGCAGCAGCTCTCATCATTCTCGAGATGGGATGCGCCCCGAAAGTCATTAAAAAAAAGTGACAACCTTTATGTCCGCGACCGTACAACCTGATTTAAGAAGAGTAGTCCATTTTTTCACAGTGGAAAGTGAAGGTGATGCATCCTTATACACTTTTAACAATTTCGAATGAATTGCAGTTGGTGTTAAAGCATCCAAAACAAAGAACTTAATCACTACACAATATTCAATTTTTCCATTTTAAAAAAGACAATGACACTTTAATATTAAACTGGTGCTACTACTCGATTGACTTGACAGATCGAAATAAAATTTTACATGGGTTTATATCTGGGATACCACTTTCCAATACAATTATATTGGGTTGGCAACTAAGTTATTGCGGATTTTAAATAAGAATGAAAATTCAAATTTTAAATTTGCTTTTTTAAATTTTTTTCAATGCATGTATGCGATACATTGAGCTTCTCTGCAATATCACGTGTAGTGCTATAACGATCTGAATCGGTAATGGCCTTGATATGGGTCTCATCGACTTCAACTGGACGGCCAGATCGTTGAGCATTTTTCAATGAAAAATCGCCAGAACGAAATCTAGCAAACCAATTTTGATATTGCCTTTCTTTCAAGGCTTCATTCCCATATACGGCACATAACTTCTTGTATGCTTGCGATGCGTTCTTACCTTTTCGGAAATAATACAATAAAATATGTCCGAAGTGCACGTCATGCTCTTCCATATTTAAATTGGAATAGAAACAAAATTAAAGAACTAATCGATATAATTTTTGTACTCAATTAAAGGTAGAAGTCCAAACAATAAGAAAAAAATATATGTTAGGTACTTTGAACACGTTAACGAAACAAAAGAAAGTGTAAAATCCATCTGTCGACAAAATCCGCAATCACTTAATTGCCAACCCAAGAGTTTGTCAGTTTCTAATGCTATCTATGTGTCAGGCCGAGAACTTTCCAGACTGCGCTCATACAATGAACAGCCGGCTCACCCCACTTGGGGCTCGTAACGCCCCACTTGTCTCAACTAATCAATATCCTCGCGCATGGCACACGCTCGACTACAAGGTCCGACATCTCAGCGCGAGAAAGGGCCAGGACGGACACAACGCGAGATCATTGCCGCGGCACTTCAGCTGTCGGTCCATTCGCCGGGTGCCGCGTTAGCGTATTACGACTCTACCAAAGACAAGTTGCTAGTGACCAAATCGATATCTTTACTGTGCCAGCAACCCTACCTCCACGCGGCCAAGACGTTCATCAATAATCTCTACAGGTAAGATCAAGAAAGAGTAGGGTTGTCGCGGCGAATTCTACGCGGCTCCGATCGCTTACGTTGTCCTAAACCAACATCGTGTGCACATCGCGAGATCTCTTTTTCTCCGCTCGTCTAATTGGCGGTTTCTTACTACCCTGCCAAAGTCGAGTCATTCCATAGCTCGCTTGCGTGTAAAAATAACAATTAATCTTCAAATTCGATCTTTAAATGCCAATTTTAAATCGAAGGTTTTAATGCTGATGTTTCAATGGCGTCGTGCGTGGAGTATTTAAATGGCGTCTGAAAAATATGGGATTCTTAAATGGCGCCTGGAGCATATAGTTCCATAGAGTGGTGGGGATATCGATCAATAAAATTTTCAGCTGCGTTCCTAGACAGGCCGGGACGCATCCCGGCCATCCCAGCCCTATAGCCGGGACGCGTCTCCGCAGGCGGTGCAGCAGCTCTCATCTTTCTCGAGATGGGATGCGTCCCGAAAGTCATTAAAAAAAAGTGACAACCTTTATGTCCGGGACCGTACGACTAGATTTAAAAAGAGCAGTCCATTTTTTCACAATGGAAAGTGAAGGTGATGCATCCTTATACACTTTTAACAATTTCGGATGAAATGCAGTTGGTGTTAAACCATCCAAAACAAAGAACTTAATCACTACACGATATTCAATTTTTCCATTTTAAAAAAGACAATGACACGTTAATATTAAACTGGTGCTACTACTCGAATGACTTGACAGATCGAAATAAAATTTTACATGGGTTTATATCTGGGATACCACTTTCCAATACAATTATATTGGGTTGGCAACTAAGTGATTGCGGATTTTAAATAAGAATGAAAATTCAAAACTTTAAATTTGCTTTTTTAAATTTTTTTCAATGCATGTATGCGATACATGGAGCTTCTCTGCAATATCACGTGTTGTGCTATAACGATCTGAATTGATAATGGCCTTGATATGGGTCTCATCGACTTCAACTGGACGGCCAGATCTTTGAGCATTTTTCAATGAAAAATCACCAGAACGAAATCTAGCAAACCAATTTTGACACTGCCTTTCTTTCAAGGCTTCATTTCCATATACGGCACATAACTTCTTGTGTGCTTGCGATGCGTTCTTGCCTTTTCGGAAATAATACAATAAAATATGCCCGAAGTGCACGTCTTGCTCTTCCATTTTTAAATTGGAATAAAAACAAAACTAAAGAACTAATCGATATAATTTTTGTACTAAATGAAAGGTAGGAGTCCAAACAATAAGAAAAAAATATAGGTTAGGTACTTTGAACACGTTAACGAAACAAAAGAAAGTGTAAAATCCATCTGTCGACAAAATCCGCAATCACTTAGTTGCCAACCCAATAGTTTGACAGTTTCTAATGCTATCTATGTGTCAGGCCGATAACTTTCCAGACTGCGCTCGTACAATGAACAGCCGGCTCACCCCACGTGGCGCTCGTAACGCCCACTTGTTTCAATTAATCAATATCCTCGCGCATGACACGCGCTCGACTACAAGGTCCGACATCTCAGCGCGAGGAAGGGCCAGGACGGACACAACGCGAGATCAGTGCCGCGGCACTTCAGCTGTCGGTCCATTCGCCGGGAGCCGCGTTAGCGTATTACGACTCTATCAAAGACAAGTTGCTAGTGACCACATCGATATCTTTACTGTGCCAGCAACCCTACCTCCACGCGGCCAAGACGTTCCTCAATAATCTCTACAGGTAAGATCAAGAGAGAGAAGGGCTGTCACGGCGAATTCTACACGGCACCAATCGCTTACGTTGTCCTAAACCAACATCGTGTGCACATCGCGAGATCTCTTTTTCTCCGCTTGCCGAATTGGCGGTTTCTCACTACCCTGCCAAAGTCGAGTCATTCCATAGCTCGCTTGCGTGTAAAAATAACAATTAATCTTCAAATGCGATCTTTAAATGCCAATTTTAAATGGAAGGTTTTAACGCTGATGTTTCAATGGCGTCGTGCGTGGAGTATTTAAATGGCGTCTGAAAAATATGGGATTCTTAAATGGCGCCTGGAGCATATAGTTCCATAGAGTGGTGGGGGTATCGATCAATAACATTTTCAACTGCGTTCCTAGAAAGGCCGGGACGCATCCCGGCCAGCCCAGCCCTATATCCGGGACGCGTCTCCGCAGGCGGAGCAGCAGCTCTCATCTTTCTCGAGATGGGATGCGTCCCGAAAGTCATTAAAAAAAAGTGACATCCTTTATGTCCGCGACCGTACGACCAGATTTAAAAAGAGCAGTCCATTTTTTCACAGTGGAAAAATGAAGGTGATGCATCCTTATACACTTTTAACAATTTCGGATGAATTGCAGTTGGCGTTAAACCATCCAAAACAAAGAACTTAATCACGATATTCAATTTTTCCATTTTAAAAAAGACAATGACACGTTAATATTAAACTGGTGCTACTACTCGAATGACTTGACAGATCGAAATAAAATTTTACGTGGGTTTATATCTGGGATACCACTTTCCAATACAATTATATTGGGTTGGCAACTAAGTGATTGCGGATTTTAAATAAGAATGAAAATTCAAAATTTTAAATTTGCTTTTTTAAATTTTTTTCAATGCCTGTATGCGATACATTGAGCTTTTCTGCAATATCACGTGTTGTGCTATAACGATCTGAATCGATAATGGCCTTGATATGGGCCTCTCTCATCAACTTCAACTGGACGGCCAGATCGTTGAGCATTTTTCAATGAAAAATCACCAGAATGAAATCTAGCAAACCAATTTTGACACTGCCTTTCTTTCAAGGCTTCATTCCCATATACGGCACATAACTTCTTGTGTGCTTGCGATGCGTTCTTACCTTTTCGGAAATAATACAATAAAATATGTCCGAAGTGCACGTCTTGCTCTTCCATTTTTAAATTGGAATAAAAACAAAACTAAAGAACTAATCGATATAATTTTTGTACTAAATGAAAGGTAGAAGTCCAAACAATAAGAAAAAAATATAGGTTAGGTGCTTTGAACACGTTAACGAAACAAAAGAAAGTGTAAAATCCATCTGTCGACAAAATCCGCAATCACTTAGTTGCCAACCCAATAGTTTGACCCAATAGTTTCTAATGCTATCTATGTGTCAGGCCGAGAACTTTCCAGACTGCGCTCGTACAATGAACAGCCGGCTCACCCCACTTGGCGCTCGTAACGCCCCACTTGTCTCAATTAATCAACATCCTCGCGCATGACACACGCTCGACTACAAGGTCCGACATCTCAGCGCGAGGAAGGCCCAGGACGGACACAACGCGAGATCATTGCCGCGGCACTTCAGCTGTCGGTGCTGCATTCGTCGGGTGCTGCGTTAGTGTATTACGACTCTACCAAAGATAAGTTGCTAGTGACCAAATCGATATCTTTACTGTGCCAGCAACCCTACCTCCACGCGGCCAAGACGTTCCTCAATAATCTCTACAGGTAAGATTAAGAGAGAGAAGGGTTGTCGCGGCGAATTCCACGCGGCTCCGATCGCTTTCGTTGTCCTAAACCAACATCGTGTGCACATCGTGAGATCTCTTTTTCTCCGCTCGTCGAATTGGCGGTTTCTCAATACCCTGCCAAAGTCGAGTCATTCCAGCCTGCTTGCGCGTAAAAATAACAATTAATCTTCAAATTCGATCTTTAAATGCCAATTTTAAATGGAAGGTTTTAACGCTGATGTTTCAATGACGTCGTGCGTGGAGTATTTAAATGGCGTCTGAAAAATATGGGATTTTTAAATGGCGCCTGAAGCATATAGTTCCATAGAGTGGTGGGGGTATCGATCAATAAAATTTTCAGCTGCGTTCCTGCGTTATAGCCTGTAGTCTGGAATCCTACGTGTACAATTTGCTGTACAATGTGCCGCTGCCGTTAAATCCTTGAAGTTCTTCGTTCGATGTTCGATGTTAACCGCCATTAAACCATAAGTGCTTTAACAAGTTTCAACAACGTTTCAACAGACGATCGAATTCGCTTCGAGCATATCGTTAAATTTAAACCGAGTGGTTTCTATATCTAGTGGCCAGGCTCGCATTGTCCGACACTCGGATATTATCTGAAATAATGGAGCATCCGAAATTAACGTCCAGGTCGACTGCTATTTCTTGTTGACTTTTGCTGCAACTGATTCCGTATCAGCTAATTTTATTTTCCAACTACTACTACCCGGTTTCCGCATTTTTTGTGCATTTTTTTTTTAGATTTACAATCCTTGAAGAAGGAGGAACGATTATATTACGTTAACGATAACAATAGGCGTGATAATATTAGATTGTGTAAAATTATTTTAGATAGATTAGTGTAGAAATTATATTAGATCTGTCAATAAATTAGATTGTAACTTACTATATAACTAATAACCAAGATATTCGATGTAACATCCAGAGAGTATAAATACATGAAAAGATGTCTTAGAAACATCTGAAAGACGTTTAAAACAGGTAGCATACAGTCTGTAAAGTAAGAGCTTGTACGGATTAATGTGTAGAAAGATTTTTTTTTAATGATTTTTAAGTATATGAATTTGTACTCCATGAAAAGAAAAATGCTATACCATTAATAATGAGTCCAGTCACCACCGACATTAATAATTGCCTGGCATCTCCGAGGCATACTTTCCACTAAGTTGACTGCGTATTCGTTCGGTAAAGACCTCCAAATGAAACGAATTTGTCGTATCAGCTGCTTCAAAGTGCACACTCTTTTTCCTCGAAGCTTGTGCTTGAGATATGCCTGCAATACGGCTAAAAAAAACTAGGACGATATTTGAAGCCAACTGCCATTTATGCCGTACACGCTCTTACTTTACAGACTGTACATTTTTTCTTAATTTATTGCGATCGAAAACCGAGCGATTAGAATAAAAGCCGTTGAATTGCAATGGCAAAGGGTCAACGTTGGTATCTGCACGCGCGCTTCCGCGAATTGAACTCAACCTAATCTAACTTTTAACCTTAACGGTTTAACTAACGAAATTATATTTTTTGTTACAGATCCGCAACAGAACGCGGCTGACTGTTTCTACTGTGTATCGGTGAGTCAGAGAAGAAAAGACATTTTTATGGGTATTTGCAATACCTCGAGAAGATTAATGCAATTTAATTATACTTCTTTTTACACGTTGCTCGAAATAATCAGGAGATCGTATCTTTGAATGACCGTATTACACAACAGAATCTTTAAAATATAATATATATTTTCCTCTTTTATATTTACTCTGAATCATTAGAAGATGCAGATATAAATGCTTTATCTTTTTTTCGCGAGAAGTGTCACAGAGCCGAGTTAGGGTCTTTTTATTCATCGCAAAGCGCCGTGCTTTCGATAACTTTATAAAATTTGCCGTTTGTCGGAGGGCGAAAGAGAGGGGGCAGGTTGACTGATCGCGTGGAGGACTGTTTTGTCGTTAGCCGAAGAAATAGTGAATCGAGGAACATGACCGAACCGCGCACGGGACAAGTTCAATTTTCCTGTCGACGCTCGCGCTAAGCCCATCGTGTTACGACACATTTTCGCAGGATACGACTGATGTGTAGCGTTTTAACAGATCGTCTAGGAGGCCCGGCGCAACAAAGGGCTTGTGAACTTTCGACATTTAGACTCTCTAGTCATGCGTGTTGCGAGGGCGAAATATTAATTCGTATGTTGTATACGTGGCAGATAGATATATACATTGGTTTAAATCATTTTTCTTTACTTGAGGGAATCTTAAGTTTTTTAATAAATGCAAATATTTATATATCAAACCAATTCTTGATATTATATATTACATTTTTTGTGACGACCTACGCTTAAACGTCCGGTTAGTGGGACATTTACCTTACACGCAGTAACTCTGCAGAGGCTCGCAACGACGTCGCGTTCTTGTTGGTCGCCGTGGAGAAGACTCGCGCGGCGAACGGGGCTCGGCAGAGCGCGGCGTGTGCCTCTGGACGAGGGGAAGACGAGATGGCGAAGAAAAAACGATGAGCGAAGACGAGAGAAAACGGAGACAGAGAAGGAAAGCGAGACAAGTTCTCAGCGAGAGTCGAGCAAAAACCGCCAAAATATTCGATCCGCCTCGTCGAGCCCGCTCGGTGCGTCCGCGCGCGGAGCGTACGTGAACAAACACACGCTACCACACGGCACGGTGCGGAGCAGCCGACCTGTATAAGTGTCACGTGTAATCCACATTAACACCTGCAATTAACTCGGATGTAAGCGGAAGGTGGGTCGCTTGACCTGAATACCGCGCTCTCGCGCTCGCGGAGAGCAGAAGCCAAGGAGTACGTTTCTCGAACTCTCGCGGCGGTGTAGGAAACGCCACTCCGTCCCTCTCTTTCTCTCTCTCTCTCTCTCTCTCTCTCTCTCTCTCTCTCTCTGCTTGTTCTCCTCTCCTTTTCGTACTCCTTCATGCGCGCACATTGCCTTCCTCACTGAATAATTAGCGATTATCTCTCGCGCCGCCACGGTCCGGCTGTGAGGAGCTGCGAGAAAGTGATTAAGAATTTTGCTCCCTTTCCTGAGTGTTTCGTTTTCCTCGTGAGTGTTGAAACCCACGGAATGCGTTGACGCGAGCGCAGAGGGGTTGAAAGACGCGAGTGCCAACACGCTTGGCGATACGTCGACTATTACATCGGTGTTACCTAAAGCTGGATGTACACTGAGAGAACAAAGTCAACGAGCGAAATGTCCTTTCGATATGTCACGGCTTGAAAGATCGACAAAAGTCGAAAAGACCGATGTACTGGAGGAATTGGCGAAAATGTTGAAGAGCAAGACGCAACGTTACATTCGTACAGGCAGAAATGACTGAAATCTGAGAATGGAGATATTGGGTAGAGAGAGAGAGAGAGAGAGAGAGAGAGAGAGAGAGAGAGGAGGAGTTGTAGGATATGTGAGGGAGGAGAGGAAACATGGGAACATGTGTGGGAGGAACGCACGAGATGGGAGGAGGGAGAGGGAAAGGGCTGAGGGGACGTAGTGGGAACGTTACTGGGAGGGGAGGGGAGGGAGAGTGGTGGATGAGGGGGGTGGAGAAATGGAGGAGAGGAGGGAGGCTACAGAGGGGAAGGAGGGACGAGTGAAGATGAGTGGAATAGATGAGAAGGAATGGAGTATATGAAAGAAAACGGAAGTCGGCGATGGTTTTATAAAAAATAGATATACTACTTCTCTTGCATTGGAGGATAAGGATGAGTGGATCAATAACAGAGACAGTATGGACAAAACACGTTTTCGATAAGGCTACGTTTTCATCCGACTAGCCTACGCAGCATCTACCGTTCATCTACCAGAGATTCCTCGAGACGCAGATGTTCGCCTCTCTCGTCGACAGTAAAGTGATGTCGACATGGAACGAGCCCGATTTCAACACAAAGGTCTCTCTTTTAAAGTAAATTTCGATCAAGTTATTTTCTTATTGGGTACGACGATGAGTATTTTTAACCCGGATTTAATCCGCATTCTTTCCCGTGACTTTCAGGAAGAAAATCGGGGAGAGCATCATACTATCGATGAGGTACGAGCCTTGCACGAGCATCGCGGATACGCAACAAGTACTGCAGCAAAGGTTAACGAACGTGGATTTCGAGACGAATCCGCCCGCGGAAATTCTTCCGCATCGAGCGGCATATTTTCGGAGCTTTCCTCTGCTGGATAGCGTCGTGTTGAATAAAGAACCCGCTCAGAGGTGCGTCACAATAATTCTTGCGAACTTACAATCTCTTACAATATCCACAAACTATTCTCACATTTTCAAATTTATTAATCTCTGCTTCTCTATTTTGTGCTTCCTACGTAGTATTCTCCGCTAAGAGATATCTTTCAGTAACGATCAGAGTGAAATAATAAGTCTCGAAGCGAAAATCTGTTGAATGCGATTTCACACGGAAGAAAAAGTTTTTACTTATTAATCACGCACTTGATTTACCTCCTTTCATTCCTCCGAGATCTCTGAATGCACACTGTATATGTCGCGAATTATCTAATAATCAGTTTTAATAATGGCGGACTAATGGTCGATCATATTTCCATTCCGCAGCAGTCGGAGGGGCCAGAGGCAGTGGAAATACAAGAGGTGTTATTGTCATCTCCTCGATCAAATCAACATGTTCAGTCAGACGCTGGGAAAGGACGGTAAATTTCAATTATTCATCTGCCTGGCGGTGAGGTAAGTATAAAATCGCGCGTTACGTCTTTGTTGTTTCAATATTCGCAACGAGAATGACTATGTTTAAATGGTAGAGATGTGCGAATCAAGAATTTTTATGTCGAATCGAATCGAATCGAATCTCATTTTTTTAATTCGAATTCGAATCGAATCGAATCTATGAAATTTCATTCGAATTCGAATCGAATCGAATCATTAAAAAATTTAACATGACTATTAAACATGCACATAATGATGGAAGGTTTTAATATGAAAGGGGATATTGATATTGTAATATCATCTTAAAGTAAAATATATATTTAAATATTTAAAGTTTTAATTAATAACTTACTTATAAATTTAAATATTTAAATATTTAAATTTAAATATTTAAATTTATAATTAAGTTATTAATTATAAGTTAAGTTAATTACAAGTTAAGGGTTCAAACATACAGGCCCAGATGTCTCATTTTGTACTTGATGCATGCAAATATAATGCACGCTAATATATTTGATTCGTAATTGAATCTCCGATTCGAAATTTTCGAATTATTCGGATTCGAGTCATAGGAATTCAGATTCGAATCGAATCGAATTATATTAGACTCGATTCGATTCGAATTCGAATAGTTCGCACATCTCTATTAAATGGTGGAGCCAAAGACATAGAAGAAAAACCGATGATATCTCAAATACTTTTACGTTTAATTTGTGTCCCCTTTTTTCTTTGTATACAAAATAAGAAATTAAGTTGAACTGTCCTTTTCGAGCTGTAGACAAACACTGACTTCACCAAAAGTCGCATGTCGCAGTTGACTCGAGCCTGGAAGTTTCCAAACGTCTAAACGACTTCTGATTGGAGTGAACCGCGCGATGGCTCGGGCCTATAAGGCCGTATAAGTGGGGTGTCTTCCCGTGGTGGGAAAGAACTGCGCTTGGGGCTCGAACCAGATAGGCTCCGAAAGTCATTTGATATGAGACTTTCGATATGAGTCAGGCTAGGGACTCGAGCTGGAAACGATAGATATATGGGGCAAGGTTCATGCCCACGATAAAGAGCCGAGTTAAGGGCTCGAACCGCAAAGGTTCCGAAAGTGAGTTGACTTTCGGTAAGAGTTACGCTAGGGACTCGAGCCGTAAAGGCTCCGACAACATAAAAGTTGTCGATATATCCCGCTTTGGGGGGAGGGGAAAGGATGGTCCTTCCTTTCGGATTTCGTAGACACTTCCGGATCCAGCTGATTTGCAGCTCGGATGGGGATGATGTTATGAAAGGACCCCAAGTGCAGCATTCCGGTGTTTGGAAACGATCTGTATAAAGATGGCGTTAACGCTCTTCGTAGCGAAACGGTGTAGCTGTAAATTGTTAACATTCAGTGACAATGTCATCCGGTACTTCGCTATAGGAGGTGTCATATACACTATAGTTTGATCTATGATATACAATGAAAAGAAGAAAAATATATTATCAAACCAAATATATTATTCGCTCATTTCTAAACAGTCTTCGTTTCATTGCAACGTTGCATCAAACAGAGGGAATCAAACAGAGGAGAAATATGTTCATTGTGACGTGCAGCCGCGGAGGCGTCCGTCCATCAGTAGGCGGACCATCGGTCACGACGCGGGGGGGGGGGGAAGAAATTTTCGAAAATCGCGTCTCGTTAGAGTTGGTGAACGGTGCGGCTGTCCGCACCCGGCGCCCAATTTAAGTTTCGTGTGAGAGACCGTGGCGCGTGGGCCGACGGCAATTTACAGGCGTTAGGAAAGTAACGTCGCATCATATACGCTAATTCGATTAAATGTTTTAGAGAGCAGCTATGTACTTCATCCGATGTTGCAGCCAATGAGCGACGCGCGTTCCACGACAGACATGTACGAAGAAAACTCGTTTCTGAGGAATCCTACGCTATTGACCTTCCTCATTCACATTCTTCAGCCGTTGAGCGGATTTCACATTGTTTTCGAAAAGAGCTTGACTCACGGAATCTCTAGTATCTATTAGTACTTGCCGAAACGTACGGGCGTATGTTGAAAATTTAACGCGAATATCTCTTTGTGTTCTCTTGATGAAATATGCTCTGGAAAAAGAGGAGAAGAGATAAATTTATAGAATTTATTCCACGTGAATCGTGTTTTTGATCGCTGACAGGTCACAGAATGATCAAGTTCCTTCCCAGTCGGAAATATACACACACAGATCTGCTTCTCTCGGCCGCGCCGCGGTAGTATCTCGTCGCGTTTGAAATGGCGACAAGCGACGAGTTCGATTGTTATATTACGTAGGACGATATAGAGAATAGGCTCGACAAGTTTTATCATTGAGATGAAAAAGAGAGATTAAAGAAGGATTTAACCCTTTGACTACGAAAGGCGTATATATACGCTTTCACAAGTCTTTCAATATATACGAAAGGCGTAAATATACGCCCTCTGCATTTTTGTACTATAACACCTTCCCTGTTGTACCGATTGATTCAACATGGAATTTATCGTCCTATGTAACATAGCAACTAAAGTATCGGCAATTGTTTCGAAGTATTGTTCAGTCAATTGTTATCATATTTGTTGTAATATTGCAGTTATAAGGTGCGAAAAGTGATCGGCGTGACACGTGTTCGTTTGTGAATATACACGCAGTGAACAATATCAATTCGAATAGTTTGTTCGAAATTGATTATTAAATTGTTTCTATTATCTTTTTATTATCTTTATTCGTTCATTATGTTAAAATTGTTTGTCATTGTTATATTAAAATGAATTTGTTCCTCATTATCAATTTCGGATTTTTTCCTCTATATTTAATTACCCATTATTATTGAAGAAATCTGCAAGTTGAGTTAAGTAAATTAAAATAGCTTAAAAAGCTACTTAAAATAAATAAGAAATGGATATTTTTAATTTATATGCAATTATTATTTTTTAAATCCTAAGAATGGTATCAAATCTCCAGGTACTGTTTTGGTCACTAGTCACTGGTCTGCGCAGCGCAGCGACTGACGTGCGAATAACGCGCCGTCCCTGTTGATGAATTACTCCGAGATGGCGCCGCAATGAAAGGGTTAATAGTATATATACATATATATTAAAACTGAAGACTGTTACCGGGAATGTAGCTGTATAATAGACGTTTATAGATGACAAATTAACAACGGGAGATTAGACGGGGAATTTATGAGATATAACGTTAAACAAAGAGAGCATAGATCCTTTTCTTGTCCTGTTCTAGAAGTTTACGATATTATGACCGGTGATAAAACAAGGGGAAGAGAAATGAGAAATAATTAATATATAAACGAGAGTAGAATATATGGTCATCTTGCCGTAACTGTTCACTAGATAAGAATAGTGAAGTAGTTGGTTGAGATATTGTTCTAATCTAAAATTGATGATTCCATGTACCAAAGATGTACCAAAGATGTGATCCTACTTAACCAGTAACCAGTTTTATATTGCCGTTATATTATCATTAGGTCGTTTAGTTTCTTCATATTGTACACTTTTCGTATGTATATCACGGTCGGACACGCGCGCGATACCTTTCCGACTCCCGACGTTTTACTCGCTCATGGAGTAACTATTTTCCGAAATGTTAACATTTACAAGGAATCCGTACGCGAGATATCCATTCACTCGCTCATTCACATAACATATACATACACACGTTACATTACATTTTTTTAATGGCTGTGCTTCGATACTTGCGTGCTATTCGTTAGACCTAGTTAGACCTCGTTAGACCCCTCGTGTCTCGGCGAGAGAGAGCTTCGAGCGTATCGAGCTGGCCCCGTCTTCCGGGGAGTCCCTTGACACGTTGACCACCGCGATGGAGGTCAGTGGCGAGAGCCGCGCTATGATTTCGACGCGCGTCGAATTAATTTGCGCGCAAAGCGTAACTAATTGCACATAACGCGAATGAAAACGCGGGGCCGATAGGGCGCTAATAAAAGAAGCGCCTAACGAATACACGCATCGCGGCATGAGCGCATGTGTGCGTGCACTCATCGTGACTTTGGTTATTCAAAATTTTAATCTGACCCTCGGACGCGTCCGCGGGCGTCAGCGTGTGGCGGTCGGCTCGCGTTAATGGTACAATATGAAACGGTAATAACGAGAGAACGCTAATGATAGAGCTGAACGGAGTAGTTCCAAGGTCACGAGACTCCGACAAAGAGGAAAGACCGGCCAATGTTTATAGCGATTTTTTTCTCTTTTCTTCTTTGTAGATTAATATCACGATCCCTTGCGAGAAAATGGCGAGATTTGTCATCGACCTGCATACACTTTCGATCTCCTCCGGCGGTACGTCCTGACGAAACGATCTCCAGCCTAGAGTCTCGCGGTAATCTATCGGCTTTCTTTCTTTTCTAATCGCGAATCGCCTCGATTAAGAGAGTAAATTCCTTTCCGAGGACGGAGAGACGCGATCATCAGGATGAAGTAACGAGACGCGCCAGTCGGACAATTTGTATAAAATATCGATACTTTATTATTTTCAATCGATTTTGCGGCGCCGCGCAAAAAAGGACGCGCAAAGTATGTACACAGACGGCGAATCATTTACACATTACAATTCTTTCACCTATGCATTAAAAAGAAATATTTACGTGCTAAGGCAATTAAAAGTAACGCATACAAGTGTCGTCTTCCTCACGGAGTTGGTAAAAACTATACGGTACGTTCGGGCTACAACGGGGAGTCGTTATATTCCGGGCGAAGTGTGATCTCTGAGGTATATCAGTGGTACTCTATTGTGCTATTACGAAACGAAAAAGAAAACGGCGGGAAAAGGAAAATAAAACGAACGAACAAAGAGAGGAACGAAAAGGAAACAAAGGAAAAGAAAACCAGCCGGCACTTGGACAGATCGAAATGGTGAGTTTCGAGTGAAAATGTATCGTGAGCGTATACAATGTGTCCAACCGAGTGTACGTGTATATTTATACTTATGCGAGTCTCTCTCTTCCTCTGTGTGTGTGTGTGTGTGTGTGTATGGTTTTTTACTTATAAAAGCAACGTGTATTCGACGCGTATAGTCACCGCGTAGGAACTGTACAGGGTCATTCCTACGCGCGTGCACACGAAGACTATATACTTCCTTAGTCAGGACGAGGTTTTGCGTATCGAGCTTCGCGCGCGACTTCTCTCTCTCTCTCTCTCTCCTCCTCTTTCTTGTCCTCCCTATCTCTTCTCGTCCTTATTAAGAAAAAAAAAAAAAACAATAGAGAACTTAGTACGCTGTGATTCCGCGTCGCTCCTATATTTACACCGATTCTCTCATCATCTCGCTTCTCGCTCTTCGCGGACCTGGAACCGAAACTTGCTGCGGACAAGACGATATCCGTTCGTCGGACCTCCGGAAATCCTCGAATGCGTAACGTATCTTCCTCCCGATACTCGCGGGCTAGTAGAATCGGGACGCTTTATCCGACTGGAAATCGACGAGATCAGCCGGCAAAGTTACGATTGGGCTTTCAGACAATCATCAGCTCCTTCTCTCCACGGCGCTATCGCTGCTTCTCTATATACACATTTCGTTGCTTAATGAAAACGTTGAAGCGCGCGTTCGCCTGTCACGTGTGAAGCGACTGCGCTGCTCCGCCTCCTCCTTCTTCTCCTTCCTCGCAGAAAACATTCTCTGCATGATGTACTAGATTGGGACCGACCGGTGCCAGGCCCACAGTCGGACAACTTGCAAAGGATAGTGGACATTGTTAAAAGATTAGGTAACATAATCTTCACCATCGGGTGGTTTAAATAATCTTCTCCTTAGGAACCGATTACAATTTTCACGCGCGCACACACACGCGTCGAAACGCAGTACATTGGATTCTTTCGCGCACTATATCTCGCTCGCATATTACATTAGTTACATATTATGTACACGCGCAGGATGAACAGTCGCGCCCCCGCTTCGCTTTCGCTCTTTCTCTTTATGTATCTCGAGTGTGCAGTTCGGGCGCGCAAGTCCCATTAAAGTGGTTCACGGTTACTCCGGTCGCCGGAGAACCTCTCGATCCGTGAAAATACGGTCTGCCGTATTCGGGACCGGTATTCGCAGTCCGTCGACGCAACTTCGTTTCCGATTGCTCTTTCCTCCCCGCTCTCGCGTGCGCGGTCGGGCAACTTTACATTCGTTAATTACTTCGAGGAAAAAAAGGGGGATGGGGGAGAAAGAGAAATCCCGACGAAGAAGTACGAGGGGAAACGGAAAGGAGAGCACAGGCGGGGAGAGTGAAGGGGCAGGGAGGGGAGAGGGGAAGATCAGCCGCGCGGAACTCCCGCGCGCGTGCGCGCGCGCGCGATTTCTTTGTATATTACTCGACTTCCGGTTACATTGTACTAAGATTTGGTCAGCTGACGTTATTTACGCACTAACTAGTTCTTGTTTCGTGGCACTGGGCGCTCTCTCTTTCTCTTTCTCAAACACGCATATACACACACATACACATACTCTCCCTCTCTTTTGTGCGCTATTCGGCCGCGACGATGAGATTAACATAAATACATTCGTGTTCATCTGCCGGTATCCCGCGTCTCTTCGCGTCACCCTTGTTCAGGCTGATTGTCTCGCTCACGCGAGAGTCCTCGGAGCTACACGACGCGTATACGCGCACGGCCGCTTCGTCAGCAGGTCCGCGAGGCGGGCGAATAAACGACGATACGACACTCGTTCCTCCGCTTCCCTCCGAGGCTTTCTCATTCGTTAAGTACTCTAGCAACTCCACTTTCTGTCTCAATGTATATATGTGTTATGTACCGCGACCTTAGCAGTACCTTCCGTCGAAGCGTACGCTCGCGTTCGGCATTGCGCCACGTCGCCCCGGATGAGAAGGTGGGACCTGCGATATCGCACGATCGGGGCAATTTATCGCATAACGATACATATCGCGGGACGACGGAGAGTCGGAAGTAATCGTGCGCGAGATCATCTGAGCCGAGAAACCGTCTGCTTTGACTCGGGCATGAAAGCGAAGGTGCTTCTTCGCGGACGGGACCGACCGACGTGGTGACGGAAGGAATCAGACAGCGCGCGCTCGAGTCTCGATCCGTGAAATTCTCGATCGACGATCACCTCTCGCGTCGGGCCAGTCGCGATCGTGTTCGGCCGCGTCGTTCTCTCGAGCTTGCTTTCCATCTCGTTGCTTTCTCTCTTCCTTCTCTCTCTCCTTACACTTACGCGTTAATTCTTAATTAATCGCACGCTCTCTCTTTTCCTTTACCTACACATATATACAGCCGCGATGACACGCTCCGCGCTTCACGGTGAACGCTCGTCACGCGAATCTCACGTGAGTCGCGAATTTTCTCGACTGCGCGACAACGCTCGAAAGGGGGAGAGGTCGAATTTTTTTGGTTTTTTTCACTCGGTCGTTCCTTCCGCTACTCCTTTTCTCTCTTTTTTTTTCGCTCTCACCCCTTTATCTTTCTCTCTCACATACATACACATATATACATGCAGCAACTGCGACAATAGCATACACTTTGCGGAAATCATTCTCTCTCTCTCTCTCTCTCTCTCTCTCTCTCGCACTTGCATTACTACATTACGCCCATTACGGCGGGTTACTGCGCAACAACCCTTCCTAGGAACCGCGGGGCAATAAGCAAACGAACGGTCATGTCGCGTGTACCTAAGGGTAAACGGATTCGCGTCGCACATTTGAGTGGACCTTGATGTCCGAAAGATGCGAGAACGTTCCGAGACGAGACTGTACAATACGATCGGACCGGGTCGCGCGATATACGGCAGCGGCTCCGAATGGATTCACCGGAGGATCTCCGACCAATGTGCGGAATGTATCGATTCGCGGATCCCGTTTGATGACTTCTTCGTCACAAACTTGACAGTTCCGGCGAGAAAACGCAAGTGTTCTTACACTCGGAAAAAAAGAGTTACGCTCTCGAAGCGTTTTCAAGTATACATTTTTCGTATGAACAAATCCGAAGATCCCTCGACGTTACACTGTCGGTCCCGACCGCCGAGCATCCTCCGAACAGAATTATGCTCCTTCTACCGAACGAGGTGTGTTTCGAACGAGAGATGGAAATGTTTCGTCGAGTCCCCGAAAACCATTCGTTCTCGATTTCGCGCGCTGACTTTGAATCATCGATTCGATTCGACTCGATATCGCACAGTCCAAGTATCCCGTTTTCTTCGTCATTTCCGATCGTGCACCACACTTTCTCTTTCTCTCTCTTACTCTCGTCGATTTACACATACGCCACACACACACACACACACACACATGCGCAAACGCATACACATACATACGCACAAATATATATATATATAGATATTTATATACTTTTTTTCAATATAATATATATATATATTCTCATTTTTTTTTTATTCGTACGCGTATATCTATGTACAAAACGCTAAATGACTCGATATGACTACGTGAATTTTTTTTTTCTTTTTAGTACTCGCGCGCGGAGGGACGAGCCTCCCCCTCGTGGCGTAACGTTAAATCTCCCCCCTCCGCCCTTCGCTTCTTCTCTCGTGTTAATCGTAACGGAGCGCTTTATAATTTCTCGATTCTAAAAAAGAAAAGTTAAGTATATACATTCCTATTACGAAATTATTCGATGCGTAAAGCGTATTGCATTGCCTTCCCCCAAACAGCACGCCTTCTTGATTCTCGCGATCGTTCCCTTCCTCCCTTCCTTTTTTCCTCTCGTCTCTTCTTCGCTCCTCCTCCTTTCACCCTCCCGTTCGTTCTCGCTTGTTCTTTTTTCGCTTTTATTACGGGCGACACACGTCGGAACGGCGCGAATTCAGACACAATGGGACCCCTCACGCACGGTGGTCCTCGACCCACGTTTCTTTCGCATCGTCTCGAGCACGCCTTAATCGCGGCTATCGCTCGTCTCTTTCTTCGTTCGTCTTCGATCGTCTGTCGTTCACGTGGCGGCGATCACCACGCGGCCGGCCGCGCGCGACGCTCTTCCGATGGTCGAGAGGCGCGCGCGCTTTATCTAGCCGAATCGTTCGATTAAAAATCAGATCAAAATCGCGCGCGCGTGGTCCCAGTCGACGCAGCTCGACGGGGACGAAAGTAAATCCTTGGGAAAAAAAAAGAAAAACACACCTCCTAAAAACGTAAAATCGCGCCGACGATGACACGGTGCATACGTCGAATAAACGCGTAATACTCGGAGACTTCATTGTGTGCGGACCGCGCGTATGAAAGAAGAAACAAAAAACAACCAAAAGATTTCTCTGCCGTGTATTTCTCTCTCTCTCTCTCTCTCTCTCTCTCTCTCTCTCTCTCTCTCTCTCTCTCTCCCTCCCTCCCTCCCTCCCCTCTCTCTCTCTCTTTCTCTTGATTCCTCCGACGCCCCTGTACAGATCCAGCTACGTTTCTCACAAGATAGACTCGCAAGATAGACTCGAGAACGCAACAATTTCCCTCCGTCGCGCGGGCCCGCGCCGGTATTCGATCTTCGCGCTCGTGCTTCGAAGCACCTCGTCAAGCTGAGCTGATTGACGCGACAAGACGACGAGACGAGACGGGACGGGACAGGACGGGACGGGACGGGTCGGGGCGGAACGGCAGGGGCTTTCCAATGGAACGCGATCGATCGACGAGCGATCAGGTTCGGTCTCGAGATTCTTCGGGAGAAGTTCCGCTTTTCGTGCGATCGGGCGGCGGCGGCGGCGGCGACGGCGGCGGCGGCGACGACGGCAGCGGATCCACGCATTTCTCGGGTGGACCTACCGCGCCTTTCTCGTTCTTGTTCTTCTTCTCTTCCTCCTCCTCTTCCTTCTTCTCTTCTTTCGAGGCTTTCCTCTTGCTTCGCTTCTGCCTCGGCTGGCCGTCGGTCTCGTTCTTTACGCCGCTGCCGCTGGAGCCTACTCTCTCCTCCTCAGCTTTCAGGCTCATCGGCGGTGTGTCGGTCCCTGCGGACTGTCCCCCTGCTGCGGTTTTCAAAAATGTACGTCCCTGACATCGGTTGGCGTGCCCGCCTTCTCGTGCTCCAGTATTTTCTCCTGGCTCGTGTTCTGGTCCCCCAGCGGCCTTTGCGGCGCGCTCGGGCCGCTGCCAGTGCTTGTCACCTGATGCCCACTTCCGGCGGCAACCTCGGCACCCACGTGAGCCTGGACCATCTCCTCGATCTGCTCTAGACAACCCTGCAGATAGTCCTGAAACAAGCGAGAGAACGCACTTTGTTCAAGTTTGTCAATGTTTCGCGATGAAGTTCTCCGTACAAACGCTGAGGAGAGAGGGGTACGAGGGTTCTCGTGTGTTTGGACAAGCGCAGGAGTTGTCTTTGAATAATTTCAAGTCGCGTCACAAGTTTGAATCTCCCTTCGTTTCCGATAAATACCCGGCAATCTTCATCGAGTCTTTCCACGTCTTTCTACGTCATTGCGATATTTTCCGAATTTGTCGCTTCCCCACCGCCACCCTCGTGGCCATCTACGCTTCTGAATCTTCTTATCCTAAGAGCGCACTCATGAGATCGAGTGGGTCAAAGCGTCACGGGTTACCCCCGACGAGCTTAAAGCTCCCCAAACGACCGGCGGGGCCCGCAAATAACGGCTGTGGCCTGAGGTCATGAATGAAGATCCCGAGAGGCCGGATGGTCTCGAGGACGGCGTCTTCCTACTCAGGGCCCAAACACATGAGACGACGGAGCGCGGACCGCTGAAAATATTGCGCTTACGGGTCACGGACCCCATGCCGAGCCATTCATTCGCGCGGTTTATTTGTACTAGGCGTATAGAGAAAGAAAAGGAGGAGGGAAGAGGCGGGAGAGATAGAGAGATAGAGATAGAGAGCGAGATAGAGAGCGAGATAGAGAGCGAGAGCGAGAGCGAGAGCGAGAGCGAGAGCGAGAGCGAGAGAGAGAGAGAGAGAGAGAGAGAGAGAGAGAGAGAGAGAGAGAGAGAGAGAGAGAGAGACGAAACGGCGATCTCGGACTCCGACGCGCATACGGGGCCCGCAGAGACCCCGGCCCTTTTTTCCCCGCGTATGTGCGAACATGTGCCCGGCACCTGCTGGCCAAGCACCCCTCCCGCGCGCGCTTCCCGTCGCGCTTTTTGCGTCCCGCGCGAGTACGTATCTCTCTCGCTCTCTCCTTCGCCATCGGACTTGCAAAGGGTGTTGTATCGTTTCTTGCCGATTTTCGTCTCGGTCTCTTGGTCTCGGTCTCGGTCTCGGCCGAGAGCCAGACGGGATGATCTCATTGAGAAGTGTCCCTCGTTCGCTTCAACACGAGTGTCTCTACGTGCGGGAACGCGGATGCCCAGGAATGCAAGTATCAGCGAGTTTTCACTTACAGGGTCGTGACCACATAACTCGTCCGCGAGAGCGGAAACGTGAGAAGCGGGCCCGCGAACGGCCGACGACGGTTTAGCAACGGTGCTGTGGAAGTGCGAAAGTCTTGCGCGGACAAGTCGCGCATTTCCAGAATTCGAAGTTGCGTAATCGCGAAAATCGTCGTCGTGCTGACGATGAAAGTGCTCGCTTCTCGCGTCTCTCGCGGCTCCCGCAGCTAACGAGATCGCCATCCAGCTGCGCCGCGAAGGTCTCGCGCGTATCTCATAATGAAATCTTACGTTACTCCAGCGCGTACTATGTACAACTCGCTCGCCGGTAACTCGTAGTACGCTCGTAGTACGTTGCTTCCTACGAGAGAGAGAGAGAGAGAGTGAGGGGCGGCAGGTGGGAGGGGCGCGGGGGTTCGGATCCGGTGACTAACCTGTTCGATGGCGGTGATACGGGTGAGCTCGTCCAAGAGACCGGCTAATCCGTAGCCGGTCTTCCCGGTCCAGTCGAGTCCGTTCAACGCCGCCGCAACGCTCGCCGCCGCGATCATGCTCGGCGTGTACATGGAGAACTTGTATTCTGCAACAGAAACAGCAGACAGGTCGCGCGTTAGGGACGGCTGAATATCCTCGCGCGATAATAAGCTTCCCCCATACACGCGATTAACCCTTTCGCCACGGAGCCGCGGAGCTTTACCGATCTGCGCGCGGCTCGAACATAGCCTAATGGCTAATAACAGCGCGATCGGCGTGTCTCTGTCAGGGTCTCGCAGGGTGTAATTGAAGCGACAGCTAATCCAATACGACAAGATACTGTATATACTTATAATATATTCGCGCGAGTGCGGGTGAAACGCCGCTTACGCACCGACAGAAAAAACTGTCTCACTGAAATTATAGTCATTTTCGGCGCTAACTTCTGTTCCTTATCTCTCACCGTTCTAACGGAAAAGAAGATAATCGCAGCAGAAAAGAAGAAGCACGCGAGTTTATGCCGTCGCCGTCACTGCGATGACGTCTGTTTGAAAAAATGAGAGAAAAATAATTACAGTTGCGAGTGTGAAATATTCTTTTCTCGGTGCGGTAACAATGAGACCCGTCCGCTCTCGACGCAAGTTTCAAGAAGATATTTCAAGATATTTCAAGAAGTCGTTACAGTGGCGTTTTATCCTGAATGACCGCCACCGCGGTGCTTTGAACCAAACAGTCGTTTGGATTTAGCATCGGGAAGTCATGTTGACACACAGCGGCGGAAAAGTCGACCATGCCACACAGTTCTTTCCCCGAAAGATAAGACGAGGCCTGGTCGTTCATTCGGCTCCTGCGGCTCATTCATACCGCCGCGTTCATTCAGGCAATACCGCCCGCCATTTGTACAGCAGTAAAGTCGCAAGCTTTCGACCTGATCTGCGACCACCGGTGAACCTCGGAACCGCACAGCAGGATTATGGCAAACAGAACGGACGGACTTCCGCAGCACGCGGTGCCTTCTCAGCTCAGAAAGTGCCGCAGGGACCACCGGTCACTTTCACCAAAGAGGACAGGCGATCCGTGCAAGGACTTCTTAATATGTCGACGCGAAGAAGAAAGAGTCCCAGCGGAACGACCCGGCCTCAGTCGACGAACACGACGGGTTTAACGTCCAACGTCTCGAATCCCGGCACATCTCGACCGGCGTTTTAACGGTACTGCAATTTTCAGCTCGCTGTCACACGGCCTTTTTAATGCGCTCTTTGGTGTTCGAGTCGCCCGGCGGAGAGACAGAGAGAAGACGGAAAAAGGCAGGAGTCACACGCCAGCCACGTCGGCGTTTCTCAGGCTCGGTGTAAAGCGCGCCGCGAAGGGGACGGATGGATTTGCATATTTAAATTACGACTCGGGTAATTAGAATTTCAATAATCGACGTTAAATAGTCAATCAAGAGTTTAATGATGGAACACAGATACCGACGCGATTCTGAGCGAACATGAGGCCCGAAGATTTCAAAAGTCGCGGTCGAAAAGAGAGAGAGAGAGGGGGGGGGAGGCAGAATGAAAAAGAAAAGGGCACAGTGGTAAATCGTCCGCGGAACGCACCACGATTTATTAATCAGTGAAATTAAAAGTGTGCAATGAGAAACGGATACGTAGAACCAGTTTGAGAGGAAGGACAAGAGAAAAGAGAAAGAAGAAGAGAAAGAGACAGGAAGAGGCACACAGACGGGAGGGTGCAAGGCGAAGAGATAGCCGCGGAATGTGAACATCAGACGAAATTATCGCTGTGCAGCAGCGGTGCGTACCGAAACTCAAGCCTGGGAGAAAGAGAGAGAGAGAGAGAGAGAGAGAGAGAGAGAGAGTTTAGCTTGCATAATCAAAACCACACTGGCTCAATCTCAGGCGCCGCTCCGTGCAAACGATAAATAGCTTCATACGCGTCTATCTGGCCGGTCACGTAAATTAACCTTACCGGAGGTAATCTATATCTGTTACCCCGATACCTGCTACTATCTATCTTCGTCCCTCTTTTTTTGCACGGGAAAAACCGGTTTTACGGAACGCCGATTTCGCGGGAAATTCGCGGCAAAACGTCGTCTCACTTTCCCCGCTGCGCGGCGGAAAAACGCGCCGTCCGAGAACGGCATTGCCTAGTTTGATCCGTGAGAAACGACTCGCGCGTCCTCACCCTGGCCGAGTCCTCTTCTCTTTCTCTCCGGTCGATCGAGCTCTTCGTCGGCGGCCACCAACACGAGTACCAGGATCACGGTCGCGAAGGACGAGGATCCTCCCCGCGTTCACAAACGCGCGTCGCGTTTTTGCCATCGTGGTTGTAATAACAACCGAGCGAGAGGAGACCGACGGAGTGTTGAGAAGAAAAGAAGAGGAAGGAAGCTGAGAGAAAGAAAGAGGGAGAGAGAGAGAGAGAGAGAGAGAGAAAAGTTGTGTTGCACAGAAGGAGAAGAGCAACGAGGAGAACGTGACGAAGACGCGTTCAGGCATTTAAACGTGCTCGATCGCGATCCTTTTTAGTGCCCCGTGCGCGAACTATCGCTCGCGATCCTTCGTCCACGTCGGATTTTCTCGCTTTTCGTCGCGACGAACATCTCGCCCGACGAAGCAACATGGCGACTAAATCTCAGCACCGACTGCAGCAACGAAAGGGGGAGACTACAACTGGCCGCCGAGCAAGAACATTTTCATACGGTGTCGCGGTTTCCGCTTTCACCGATATCACAACTCTCACCGCGGCATTAGCATAGAGATAACAACAGAACTAGATTCTGAAAATAGCGTAATGCTAATAGCAATAACGAGTGACCGAGATAGCGGTAGAACGCTGGAAATTACAAATGCGCCGCGTGTGATCGCACGGAGAAATGATACCGCTCGTTTATTCGGCGGATCCTGCCGCTGCTCTTCCGCTTCCGCGAAACGCGTGTTAATGATAGCGCGAGTAACAGGGGGAGGGGAAGGAATGGAACGAGAGGTGTAACAAGGGCGAATTACCCTGCCGAGCGATACTCGACGCTTCTCGCGCCGAGTCGCGCCGCGCGTTATTGGCGGCTTCGTCCACATGTATAAGCGTGACCTATTTAGGAGAGAAAGAAAGAGAAAAGGGGGGGAGAGAGAGAGAGAGAGAGAGAGGGAGAGGGGGAGAGAGAGAGAGAGAGAGAGAGAGAGAGAGAGAGAGAGAGAGAGAGAGAGAGAGAGAGAGAGAGAGAGAGAGGAGGAAAAAACGAAACGAAAAAGTGCGATTCGTGCGCGACTCGCGTTACGTGACGGCTTCCGTCGGCGATGTATATATGTGCGTGCGTGCGTGTGTGTGTGCGTGTGTACGCACGCAGGTACGCTGTTCTATGACGAACCGACGTATATTCATTAACGCGCACGTTAACGACATACGTAACCTGGTTGTTATTTACCGAGAGCGCATGTACGGCGCGATTACGACCCCGCCACCGAGGCACCGGTGCCTCGGCTGACAACAAAGCGCAGCGCAAGATGAATAAAAAAAATGTCTTTTGCATTTCGAAGCTGACTCGTTAGACGATGCTCGCGTAACCTGCGACCGCTATTACGATATTTCGAGAGCCGAGAGAAAGAGAGATAACAGACTCGTAAATTGCGTGTGTCGGTCATCTCGTAAGCAATCGTGCGCTTGGACTTAAGCAAAAACAAATAAAAATATTCTCGAGCTTCTTTTCGGGTGTACTCGCGATCTGAATGCGCAAATCTTGTTTTGCCACTTTCCGAAAAATCGTTCGACTCCGTTCTTACGAAATTTTGTCGACCTCAAAATTTTGTCAGTCACCGAGATTACTTGCACGACAACCGAAAAACGTAGCGAAAAAATAAGTATTAATATTGCAATAGTAAATATAATAAGATAATAGCGAATACAAATGTATATAAACGTCGGTGAGAAATGTGACGCGGAATCTCGAACGGACGAATTCCTGGTCCTCGCTATCAATCCGGACCCGATCGATCAGTCGGATCTGAATCAATCAACATGAAAATATGAAAAATCACGATATCAAGTCGCGTTCCATTCTTCTGTTCTCCTCGCGGGTTTAAAGCCCGCTCGAGATTCCGCGTTTCCTCTCTCTCCTAATTCTACCGCAATTATTCGCTCTTACCTCTCGCACTGAGAGCGATGAAGGTCTGCGCGTGCCTCCTGACCATCACGGTGTCCCAAGTACGCGGCATCGGCAGTCTGCTGAGAATGTGCATGAGGAAGTCGCCGGGCGTCACTGCGGACAATTCCCATTTCAGCTTAGAGACGACCAGCTGCTCCCACCTCTGCAACAATAAGTCGAGCGCATGCCGCTCGTTTAACTTCGCGACAGACAGACCACGTTCCCGTTCTCTATACGAGAAGTATGGGTGGTGCGGGGGAGGGGAGAGAAGGAGGGAGAGCATGGCATTCAATAGCTGCGTCTCGAGGCCAATTCGACTAGGTCTCTCTCCCATCTGATCGACTCGGCTGTCTTTGTCGATAATTATAAGGTTGATCGGCAGGATGAAAGAGGATACGCGTTGCTGGTAATTTCAAGTTGTCCAACTCGAAATTCAGAATTTCACGGAGATCCCCCGAGATTTTATGCACTCGACGTGACAAACGTTTGCATCTTCAGACGTGTCAATTATGTTCCAATGATGTGCTATATTTTAAATAATACGAGTCACGCGCTTTGCGCAAACGGATGAGCGCTTCGGCGATGAAGGAAGGACCTCCTCGCGAAATTTGCCGACAGATTATTAGATCCGCGTCTTAGATCCTCTTTAGATCCTTTTCATCGAGGACAAATGGCGAACGCGGAAAGACCGCTTCTAATTGTTCGTAATTGCGGGCAGGTGCGACAGCGAATCGTTTGCGCGCTCGCGCGCGACGTCGTCAAAAATCAAGTAGCCTTGGCCTCTCTCACCGTTCCGAGTGTTGAGCACGAAGGAAAAAGAGAGAGAGAGAGAGAGAGAGAGAGAGAGAGAGAGAGAGAGAGAGAGAGAGAGAGAGAGAGAGAGAGAGATTAACTCTTTCTCTGGCGAGGTTACTACGTTCGTTCTCTGGAGTACGTCGTAGTATCCCCGTTCTCTCTCGACCGTGAAATTACACGGCGGGAGTAGCGCGACGAGTACTACGTGTCCTTCGCTTTGATTAAAAGTCCATTGAATTCGGCGAGGCTACATTCTCTTCCCGTCGCTTGGCTGTGACGAAACGCGGCTCCGGCGAGACGCGTGCTTCGCGCTGTCGGTCTTCAACGGGCCGACAGGACGTGCGATCGCCTCCGAGTTGCGCGTTTCCATTCTTTCACGCTGCATCGCGTTCCGCATCGCGTGACGGCAATTCGCCCACGCGTTTTCGCGCGATCTCGCGGAACCGAAAAGGCGCGGCTTTTGTGAGAAACAGCACTGCGCGGAAACGATAAAAATAATCGGAACAACGGAACGGATCTCTGCTGTTTCTCTCGAGTGAGGTTGTATATCAATAAAATCGCAATAAACGCGCGAAACGTAGAATTCGTGTCGCACACGAGTGTCCTTTGGCCGCGAACGCGTCACTGTTCGAACGCGAGAGCGGAAGGGAAGGAAGACGGTTTATCCGTCGTCATCGTAGTCATCGCGTAGTACGAGCCAAATTAAAGTTCTCCAATGGAAGAGGATGTGCGCTCGAGGGAAGACAAACCGAGGGAGTATCTCTCTCTATCTCTTTTCTCCTTTCTCTCTCTCTCTCTCTCTCTCTCTCTCTCTCTCTCTCACTTCCTACTACTCCACGGCTTATTCTCATCCTTGAAGGGGTTCCGCGCTCGAGTGCGTACGTGCGTGCGTGCGTACGCTCGCCGCTCTCGTACGCTCCTCTCGTATACGAGCGTCAGGAAAGCGGTGAATGAAACAAAGGCCCGTACACACCGAAGAACACGAGCTGCGACGTAACGAGCGCGTCGCGTCGGTGTGTGTAAATCGCCACGTTCTACCGGCCGTAACGAACGAATCGTTTCTCGGTCGCCGGTATATCGGTGCGTTATCGTTACTTTCTAAACACGATGCGGTTTATCTGACCTCTGGTGACACGGGTCGATTAATTTTCACAACGCGATTGTGCAGCGTTTCGCTTGCGCGAAAGTAAGTCACTCGGCCCCGCGCGCCCTTATCTCTCGTCTCGCGCGGCGTAATTCGGCGAAATTCCAACGATACGACCGCTCGAGCCGCGCCTCGTGAACGTCTCCGTTCCGCTCATTCGCGTTTCACGATTTTGCCATCGTAAGTGAAAACGATCGATAACAAAGAAGCGAGACTATCACCGCTACCTTATAACGCGCGACGTTACGACGTCGACGACGCGACGCGGCAATTACGACGACGCAAGGATCTCTCGTCGTGTGTTACTTCATTATTCGTCCTCCATCACTTGGAGTCACAATTATTACGGGCCGTAGACGCGCTGAAATTATAATTGCTGATAATTACAGCTCTCCTCGCACAGCTCGGCCCGCCCCATTTGAAAATCGAACAGCGGGAAGGAATTTATATGAAATCCGCGCGCGAGCGAGCGAGATAAATATGTAATCCATAAGATACGAATTTTGCAAAGGCGCGATGGACGCGGCGACGAGAGGCTGCATGCCGACGGGTGTTACGCGAACGTAAAACGTTCAACGCGCGACGACGCGCATCCCGTCGTCGCTCGTCACTGAGCGAGCGGTGTGTAATGTGCGATGTGGCCGGCGCGTGCACGCTACGATGCTCGCGCGTAAGTAACGTAACGACACGTAATGATTCACAAAGAGAGCGGGGGAGGGGGGGGGAGGTGCGGAGAGCGAGGGACAATGATCTACCTCAGGGATAAAATTGAACGCGATCGGTGACGATAAGCGCGCGCGGGCATTGATGATAAGCGGCGCCTCCTTCGTGCTCGCCCCCCCACGGAGGAGGGTGTCGTCCCACTGCTTCCACGTCAGCATCGTGGAAATTCCGCGTAGCGCAATTTACAGCGATAAGTAAACGCGCAGATTGCTCGCGCGTGGGATGATCTCTAATTGCCGCGGATGAAAATTTGCTGCGAGGGAGTCGCGGAGTCACGAGCGTAAAAGAGGTACACCTCGCGATAAGTAAGGGTGTCTTCCTCTTCGCGATCTAACGTGTGCGCGTTATTCGTGCGATATGCTAGGAAAAAAGTAGTACAGTATCAACGGGGAGATATTACGATGAGATACACGAATCGTGAAAAGAGGAGGAGGAGGAGGAGGAGGAGGAGCACGTTTCGGCCGAGCGGCCTCGGTCGTCCCGCGATGTCGCGAGCGAGTGAAAGCTACGAGGCTCCGACATGATCCTGCGAAAGTTGTGATCCCTCGCGACAGATCTCGCTCTTAACCTTGGAACTTCCGGCCTACGCGAGCCCACGCGCGCCTCGGAAATCGATACTCGAGCGACACCGGATCAAGAGACACGGTGAAAAAGAGGGACGATCGGGCAAAAAGATGTCGAGGCATGCCGTGGGATACGGAAGAGCAGGTGCGAGTTATACGCCTTCCGTTTTCCCTTCCGCGCAGCCTTCCGATGCACTTTGCAATGGGGGGTCCGAACGAATGGGGGGCCCGGCCTCTCTCTCCTCCGTGAACCCCGATATATTTTCAGGTCATCCCGAGCCCTTCGTACGCGCGCGAGCGCTCTCTGTAATTAAACACGCCCGTAATTCCAGGTAATTTCCGATTTGACGTGCAATCTTTGTGTCACGCACATGACCGCAGATATTCGTTAATATCGTCTCCCCCCTCATCATCACCCCTGGGTCCCCCTCTTTCTCATCGTGCAACGCGCCGCGCGAGCATCATTTATCGATCCTCGTAAATCGCACGCAAAACGCTGCTCGCTCTCAAGCGAGTCGAGAAACTGAATAATGCATCGAAGATAGAATGAACTCTATTAACGCTCGTGCGTATTCTCGCATGCGTGCGAGACTCGGGATTCGCGCGAAAGCGTGAGTGCAAGCACGCACGCACGCAGGCATGCGTGCATGCAGGCATAGAGCACGCGCAATTTAATCGCGCGCGCACATGCGATAAAGGTCGATTCATATTATACGACGGCGCACCGGCAACGACGCGGCAGAATATTATGCAGCGAGGAATAATAAAGCGGACTGTTTATCACGTCCGAGATACAGCGACAGTCGGAGTAAAAAAAAGAGGAAAAAACCGGGAAAAAAAGCGAAAGGGTCGCTGCCGTGGAACGAAAGGGCTGCGAATCACGACGCGAGTCGTTATTGAAAACTATCAGGGCTTCGTCCTGCAAATTTACGATCTTTCGGCTCGCTTACCGTACTCGTCCGCGGAAACTTTCAACCGAAATTCTCGTCGTGCTCATCCATCGATCTCCACAGTCGCTCCTCAAAATTCCGGCAACTTTGCACTTCGATGAAAATCACTCGAAAATCGGTCAATTTATTAATCTAACAAATTTAGCCTAAAATTCTTAGGAAGGACCGTAAGATGTATTCTCCCGCATTTCCACGATCGTGCACACCTTCGCACAATCAGATACACTCGCGGATAACGCGACATGATGATCGTGCGCGATACGACACTTGGGCATAAAAAAATAGAAGAAAGAAGGCAATCTTTCAAAGCAGCCGGGGGAATAAATTTCCCGATGGAGGTTAAATACTTTCACGGCAGTTACGTTTGCATTTCCGGTCTGGAATTTACGGCCGTTCTCGATTCTCGAGTTGCGACTGCATTGGCAGCTAGGTCAATAACTATCGAGCGATCGACGGCGGAGGAGCATGCAGGCGGTACGGCGCGGCGCGTTTATGCGTTTTATGCGTCTCATTCATGCGGCCCGCGATCGCGTTCGCACGGTCGTCGCTTCGGATCGCGCGCACCTTGGGCGCCCCGCTTTCCCGAGCGTGAGAAAGATAATCCCGACGCGCATGTGGCACTTTTTTAATATTAGGCGCACCGAATATCGTGACACGTTGTTGTGACACCGGCGGAGGAGAGACGAAAAAGAGTTAGAGAGAGAGAGAGAGAGAGTGAGGGAGAATGAGATAGTATGTCATGATAGGGACTCGCGCGGGGCGAAAACGCATAATTACGATCATTAATCGTAATTACTGCATATATCCACGTGGTGTACGCCGCGAGGACGCGTCCTCCTCTTCCTCTTTTTTACCTTTTAGCCCGTCCAGGGTATCCAGATGCCGGTTTCGGCTTGTAGGTGGTGAAATCGTCGACAGGTGGTCGACGGGCATACGGAGTACCGAGAGCAAGAGTAATAGTAGCGCAAAGAGGACGAGGAGGAAGGATGCAAGAAAATCCTTTTGTAAAAGTTAAATGACGCCTCCCTCAAGCCTTTCCTGCCGAAGGCAGGCCGGCCGGCGGATCTGATCTCACACGCTCAAATTCCATACAATTGTACACTTCGACGCTCGAGTAATGAAGTGTTCCTCGTCGTCGCTACTTCAGCGATAAGAGCAACACGCAGCGATTCTCGCGAGGAAATCACGCGATACGTTAACCTATCCGCGCTAACAGCCTCGTCCGTTCCGTGACCGATTTCCTTCTTAGTTGCGGCTACCCCGCGCATATTCTTATGTCGCTCGACGCTCTCGACAGCGAGATTCGGAAAATTGCGTCGTTTTGTGATATCCGATCGGAAATGGTGAGCAGGCGGCTAAATTCTGTTTCAGAGTGTATCAGTGTGCGTGAGCCACCAGAACGACACCAGAACAATAGAGCGAGCAAACGGGAGTTGGGAGGCGAGCCCATTTTGCGGTCGCGTCGCTACCTGGTCGCTTCCGAGAAGCGGGGACCTTCGACTTATCTGGCTCGCAATGAGGGATCGATAGGAGGCCGCAGGACGCGGACAGCGAAGGAGAAGCCGCGCGGCCAGGACTCGGCGGTGATATTTCCTGCGAACCAAGTGCCAAGGTAAATGAAATTTATGCGCTTTAACGTTGGTCGCGATTACATAACGGGAGTCCTGCGAGTCCTCGGGACCGCCGTTGGTGCACGATTCTCCCCCCCCCCCCACCGCGACTCGACGACTCTCGGTGTACCATCGAGCTCCATATTTTGGCGCTCTCGAGTGCCCTTGTGATCCTTCCCGACGATTCCAGCTACTTGGAAGGGTTCATATTTAGCGGCTTCTCAGAGAAAGGCCTTTGTTTGCTTATTCTTTTTTCCTTGTTCTACGTCCTAATTACTTATTTTTCCTAAGAACGCGGTACACCGAAGGCTAAACGAAGACCGAGTACGTCCGCAGGTAGCGAGCCATGCCGCTTTAATACCCATCTCTATGTTTTGCTATCGTTTACTTCAAGTAGTTCAAGCTCGTTCTACAAGGCAAAAGAAAGTAGCTCTCAATCAATCATCATGGAAACAAAGAAGTAATTCGAGCGGTCAGACTCCTTAAAAAGGAAACTGTCTGAGACGGACGCTCATCTGTTTTCGAGAAAAGCCCCAGAATCGCGCACCAAAAACGACGCAAACGAGATCTCGCTCGGGAGTCCCGCGATTGATCACGCAAAGAGCCCGAAAGCCCCCGTCGCGCCGCATAATCACATAAGAATTTCATCAGCGCGAATTCCCATAGGTGGTAACGCGGAACGAGAAAACGAGACGACGCGGGGATGCCGCCGAAGGGAGGGGACAAGACGGCGCGGAATCGAAGGGCGGCGCCTGTGAGGAGCAAGGTGTTTACCATTCCGGCCAAAAATAAAGTACAAAGGCCGAACTCCCTCTTGGCCCGGCATAACTGGCAACAAAAACCAGAATCACCGTCCGTGCATTCCGCATCCAGCATTGGCGCGCTCCGACTCCGACAGGTTGCTGTACGTGATTATGCGTAAGTCAATATAATGTTTCTGTGTCAAGAATGTTTCTGTGTCAATAATGTTTCTGTGATGTACGTTTCTCTCTTCCCCTCCGTCCCTCTTTGCAGTAACTCTTTCTCGCAGGTAAGTGTTCAGATAGATCATGTAAATCATCGTTAATATCATCGAAAACGGCGAACAGCGCGTGATAAGCGCAACATCGCGAAATGGTGCGAAATGGCGAAGAGGTGTTTATAAAAGATGCGTTCATAAAAGGAACGCAGAAACACCTCGATTTCTCCCGTTGCATGCATGTGTGTGTTATTATATATATATATATATATATATATACACATACTTTTTTTATTACATATTATTCGACGCGACTTCTATTTAAACTGGCTCTAAGCAAGCGAAACTTGACGCCTCGTTGAGGGCTGCAATTTTGACGCCGATCCCGAGTTTATCGGCTATCGCGCGTTTCCCAGATCGGCGGATCCGCCAACAACGCGAGGCTAATTATAGAGAATCCGCCGATAGCCCCGATGAAAAATTCAATCTCGAGAGTCGCCTCGTCGAGTCGCGAGAGTGAGAGAGGACGAGAACGCGACAGCGAGCGCAAGCAGGGCGAGGGAAGGCTGTGGTCCGAGGGGCCCGAGATTCGATTTAATTGACGTCGACTACGCCAATGGGGCCGGCTCCTCTCGAGGTTACTTCCAGGAACCGCCTTTTGCGGGACACATCTGCTCCGGTTACCGGAGCATACCCCGGGTCCTTTTTCGCACATAAGAAACCTCTTCTTCCTTTCCTCGACTCGGTCGGGACCGGAACACTACACGGCCACGGCGACTCGCCCTCTCTCGCCGCTGATTCCTTTCTCTCTCTCTCTCTCTCTCTCTCTCTCTCTCTCTCTCTCTCTCTCTCGTTTCTCCTCGTGTCCTATGCGAACGACGGGATTCTAATTTTCACAGAAACTATAAGCGCCTCGACCCGACGAAATTTTTAACGAATCTGCGATTAATAAACTCGGGGCCTCTGAGAACACTGGGACGTCTCGACGAAATAAAAGCTAGGTCCACGCCTTCGCAGCGGAAAGTGCGCGGGAGAGAGAAAGAGAGAGAAAGATGATTCATTCCGAGATTTTCGGGATCCGACGTGGGTTGGGTCCCTCCAAATCGAATTATACTCGCATGAGAACTCTGCATCGTCGCCCCTATCGAGATCTCTCTCTTCTCGTTCTCGTGCGAACCGACTCACTGACGAATCCGCATATCGGCCGCGAACAAGCCGCCACTGCTGCTAGTGTCGGGCTTGTTCGCTAGTGCTCTCGTGTCGGGAATGTGTATATATATTTTTCGCTTTAAATAGATATAAATATCGTATACAGAAATTATTTAGCAAGAGAGGAAGCGTCCTGTTTGATAGAATATATATGCTCGCGCACCGATGAGATACCGACACTTTTAAAAGGCACGGCGTCGACTTCGGCTTGCCTTCGGCGCGTCTGACGTAGCACCGGATGTAACTACTGATTCTCCATTCAGAGCGGAGAGAGCGAGAAAGCGCGCGTAGCTTCTCAGAATTTATCGCGCAACGGATGGGTCCTTGTATTTTTTTGTGTTTATTAATGTCGTACATATTAATGTCGCACATATTAATGTCGTACATATTGTCACTGCGGAGAGAATTGCGGTTCGATCGATTGCAAATTATCGGAATTTTTACACACGTGTCAAATGACATTTGTACGCGCGACACGGTACGTTGGCTCTCGCGGATAGGATTATTTGCCGCGTTGTGTCGCGGCAAAATACGCGGCTTGAAACAAAGATGAAACCTCACCTACCGCGAAGAACGCACACTCTCGTCTTCTCGAGGCTGAGATAGGCCAGTCACGTAAAAGTTGAAGTTAAAATGTGATTTACGGCGTTCCTCACAAATCACCATTCGCTCCGAGACGCCCGCTTAACAAGGTGACTCAAGTAGGCTTAATTGCCCGCCGGGATCTTTCCAGAAAAATATCGATACGCACGTGTACCTGAGTACGGGTACCCGCATGTCGCCACCCACGAGACAAAAAATTGTTCAGCTCATTACAGCAAAATTAAGAACGATCAGAGTGCGTTGGAGGATATGGACGTTACTGTAGACAAATAATAGGATGACTCTTAATCGATAAAGCGATGTTAGAGAGGAATCAGAGAGACAAGCGAAACCTGAAATTCACAGATTTTGGAATACGCGACGATACTCGTGCTGTAAGCGGAGCATGACAGAATCGAGAGAAAAATTGAAGGGGTCTGATATTATGGGACAAATTACCAACTTGCTGAGACAAAGAAAGAGAGAGAGAGCTCGCGCGTAAGACTATCGACGGCAGGATTGCCTCGTCTCGTCTCGCTTTTTCGCGCGACGCACATGGTGGGATTCGGCCGTGCTGTGTGCCACCGATACGTCACATCCGCGCGTCGAGGCCAGCGCGCGACGACGCAACACGACACGACACAACGACGACGACGACGACGACGACGACGACGACGACAACGACGAAAGGAAGAGAATCGGCCTGCCTGTTGGTTTAGAAGTTAGAAAGCCGACTCGCGACATATCGCGCGACTGGCCTCGACTCGGTCAATATTTACGCAGATCCGACGTATGAAGACGAATATTTCGATGCAATATTATATTTCAGCCGCCGCTCGTATTTCGTTAATTTTTGCTTTCCTCGTGCTCCAACCGTCGCGCGGCGACGGTTTTTATTGCGTAAGACCGACTCGCTTGCGCTTTCGGAAATATCGAGGAGCGCGAGCGCGCGCGGGTGATCGATCGGCCGACCGATATCGCAAATTTCGAAGGTTATCACAATCGTCCGATTATATATGCGCGCGTCGTCGGCGTAGATATTGCATCCATATTCAAGAATGACGGGAGGACCGTCGAGATCAGCCGTTCATTAGCTTACAAATTAGAAAGTCGCGCTCGACGTCGACGTCGAGCCGCTCGGCCTCGAATACACGCGGATCGAGCAACATTCCGGCCGCGCGTTTGTTCTTTTAATTAGGCGGACAAAAGTCGGCAATCTCCGAAGACGGGACGAAGGCTCGTCGTCGGCTCGTCTCCTCTTCCCCCCTTCCGTCGTCGTTTCCATTGTTCGCAACCGCGATATTCGCCCCGTCAACTCGCCGTGTTTCCGCGTAGATCTCGCGAAGGGCGGCGGCGGCGGCGGCGGCGGCGGCGGGCGATTTAAACGTCCGCTCATATTAACTTTCTCATCTCACCGCTAAGGTGACTCTGAAATCAAGACTCGTTCGTAGCATTCGCACGCGGATAAACTCGCGGAATATCAGTGTCATCCGCTTACGAGCATTCGACGTGTTAATTCGCTCAGGAGATCTAGTAACCCGATGATGCCGTACGTCGCGAGGCTGTTACATCGTGCGGTCGTGCGTGCGAGCGATTCCGGACGAGCGCGTATCCCCGATCGAACGCGGTCGCCGCGCGCAAAGAGCCGCCGAAAGCGGCCGCGGTAATTATTTTCGCTCGGTTTCGCCACACTCTCCGGGTGACGTAATAACGGAGCGGCTGGTGTGTGCGCTCTCGGGGACTTCTCTCGCATTTCTATTACGTTTCTACCGCTTGCCGGCCGACCGGCCGCCTTCGAGACGGTGACGACCTCGGCAAGCGGAATCGTCCCGACCGAGTTCTCGAGCACCGGAGTCCGGCTGTCGTTCCGCGATAGTCCTCGGAGGACTCTCCTCTCGCATTCGGCGCTCGGCCGATCCATTGTGTCGCGTCGTCACGACGGCGGCGTAACGCCGATTTCGTCCGCGTGCGGGCATTAGAAATAGTTTCGCCGTGAGGGCATCGCCGGGCAGTCGAGGGCGGTGACCGACTCGAGGCCGCTTCAAGCATCGCCTTTCGCAGCGGGCTTTCCAGTCCCGGGTCCCGGGCCGCCGTGCCAAAATTCGCCAAGGTTTCGCGCGACCGCTAGAGAACGTTTTCTGCGCGCGCGGTGAATCCGTAAAGCCAGGCCAGCGCCGGTGGCCGCCGTCGTCTCAAGATCGAACGATCGAGAGCGCCGCGCGCGCGCTCTCGTCGAGGTAGAAATCGACGACCGAGAGGGGGTTAAGCGACGCGAGCGACTTCGCTTCCAGTGCCGAGAGCGAGAGATTTAGGATTGTCCACTTCTCTCCAGAGCTGCCGGACTCACTCTTCGCTGCTGCGCGCGACTTCTGGCATTCTTGCCTTGCTCCTCGCTATTTTGCATAACCGCCTGCGAGGCGTTCTCACGATGTCGCTCGTCGCTTGCGCGATAACCCGCCGTGTATCTGGCGTGTCAGCATTATCGCGTGATTCCTTTCGGCCTTTCGCGTATCGACCGTGCGGCGGTAGGCAGGCAGACGAGTAAGCAGGCAAGCTGGCTGGCTGGCTGGCTGGCTAGCCGGACGAGCTCGGCACCGATTCTCGTCCGGTGAGTATTCCGCGGATGAGAGATTCAATGATCGAGAGAGCCGAGGGGAGCCCCGCGTGGTCGTAGAAAAATTCTTTCAAATTCATTCCCGCCCCGGAGATTCAAGCCGTCGCGCCTTCCGCTTCACCCTTCCGCGCTGCGTGTCATCGGTTACACTGGGACACAGGGAATATCGTTAGAACGGATCCTTTTGAGAAGCGTCGACTAAACGTTACGCCGCTCGTGAAAAGTAGCCGAGGTCAAGTCGTTGATTCACGCGGACAAAAGGCCCCGCGCGTCGCGCCACCGTCGTGTGAGACGAGGAGAGACGAGGAGAGAAAAACGAACGACAAAAAAGCAAGCGAGCAAAGAAAGGGCGGAGGGGGGAGAAGAAAACGGAGAAAGAGAAACGGAGAGATCCGGTCGCGCAGTTTGGGCCTCTCTTTCATCCGAGTTCCGTCAAAAAAAAAAAAAATTCAGAAACGAAGGAGAGAGAGAGAGAGAGAGAGAGAGGAGACCAGGAGAGAAGGATAGGGGGAGAGAACTCGCGACGCACCTGTCGTCCGGCGAACTTAAGGTAAA